TGTTAAAGAGAAGAAAAACCCGAGGTTTTACGTTGAAAAGAGACGTCGGCCCCACCAAAAGTTTAAGCCCCCACATTGGCCGACAGACGCTGTCCCTGAGGTGGGCTCAGGCCTACGGGCAGTATCTTAGGCTTGGCGCCACCTTTGCCTTATTGAAGCTGTTCCTGAACTGACGTCGTTTATCAGCCTTGTCTCAATCTTGTAACAAAACGTGTTCAACTTCAACACTTCAGAACCAACAAAGGATCACGACCATTTCGGTTTGATATCCGCCATAATGGCGATCCCGTGGGACTCGTAAGTATATCTTCTAGTATTAAACTTGTCCTTGTGACTTTATTCCTCTTGATAACCACTTACACATTGTGTACAAACAACAACTAACCTTAACCAGCATCCGGTCCCTCCTTATCTTCTTTGGCCCTATACTATTACCAAAGGCCATATCATACTATCGATCGGTCAAGGCCTCTTCGCAAGCCCGGCATGCGCCCATAGTTCCCGTACCGCCCAAAGTCCGCGTTGCGCTCGCCCTCCTGGCCTTCTTAATCATCAGCTACATCCTCAAGACATTACCGCCGTTCGCACCTGAGAACCTGTTCCTTGCGACCCAAAGTCGTCTCCAGATCCCGGTCGATGTTCTATTCAACCGTGTTGCAGTTGGAAGACCCGATAATGTTCTCACGAAGCAAGACGAAGCGCTGAGGGGCAGATTTGTCAACCTGGAGAGCCGACTGCTATACTTGCAATTTGGACCTGAAGTACTCGCAAATTGCCCGTTCTGCACTTCAGAAGAGCCAAAGACATTCTTCTATTATGCTCTCCCACAACTCCTGTGGCCTCATATCGCAAACCTCTTCGCCATCGCTTTCGTTACAAGTCCAACATTCACAGGGCGAGCTGGTTCCCAATGGCGACCAAAGGCCACAATGGCTGCCATGACCATTGCCGCTCTCGATATCTACTTTGTCAACTCTTACAACTACCAAGCCAACGCACGTGCTCTGCGTCTGCCGGAAGTTGACTTCTTTTACTGGACTGCTCGAGTCGCACGTCTTGTGACCCTCGCAGCTTTCGACGCAGCTCTTGGCTGGCTTCTATATCTATCCGCTACAAACCGCGCCTTCGTCGAGCCTCCATCCCCCGTGGAGCGCATCGAGGCAACCTCGCGTGCTCTTCTTATCGTGAAGAGCAAGCTTAGCGCTCTCGGCATCGTCAAGAACACTGCGCTGCGTGATGAGGATCTTCGATCACGAAGCCATGCCTACTGGAGCCACGAAGTGCGCCTCATGGGCGAGGTCATGGAGGAAAGGGAGGTTGTGGAGGGAGTCAATGATGCATTGACTAATCGCATTGATGTGGCGACCATAACGAGGGACGCTGAAGGATATGCACAGAATGTATTGCACTCCTTGCGTGGAGAAACGGCAGACGGCGATAGTATCTAATCCGTCCTCCTACGTATTATCCCAACCCTTCTTACTAAAGAGCTATTCTTACATAGAGGTCTATGACCATTGAAATTTGGCTTGAATAACCACGAAAACCATATCTCATCCTTTCTCTTGTAACAGTCGAGTGTTATGCTCTCCCTGAAACATGCACCGCGTCTTCTCAATACATGCATTTAGTGTAATTCCCACATCGTAATTTCGATATTCAGCATTAACTCTTGGACTCCGGCCTTGTTGACTCCGGCCTCACTGGTCCTGTGGCAGCACTGCTAGTGCTACCCTTCCTACTTGGTGTTTCCAGAGCGCCCTCCTGTGCGCTGCGCTCTAAGAAGTTTGCCCATAGCTCAGACAAAGACTCTTTGTCTTTGGCGGATGTTGACTCGTTGAAGAGATCGGTGTTGAGAGATGGTGAGCTTGGTGTGCGTGTAAATGGTGACATGGGTAGGCGGAGAGAATTAGAGGATGTGCCTGGACGAGCGAGACCGGCCTGCTCTCGCTGCTCGTCGGTCCAGTTGAGATAGCCAGCCATGACTTGAAGGACCTGGAAACGCTTGGCGTCACCGCGGTCGAGTGTGAGGAAGTGGAGGAGATGGTTTGTGACGATTTGTCTAGCCGCTGTTAGCATAAAGCTTCATATGAATCGTCATATATCAAACGTACCTATCAACGTTGTCTTCCGGCTTTGTCTTCTTGAGGTACCGCAGTGCCTTTGTCAAGTGGTCGTTCAACACAATCGCCTCATGCCTCAACTTTCCAATGAGAAGGTTCTTCTCCTTGACCTCCTTCTCATACGGCGCTGTTCGCTCAAGCTCCTGTGAGAGCGTTTGCTTGGCTTCTTCAGCTTCCTTTGCGCGGGCATCGGCTTCTTGCACCTGTTTCTTGAGAGCTTGAACTTGCGCCTCGGTAGTCTCGACCATATCGCGAAGCTCCTTCTTGCGAGCATCTTGGATTTCGCGGAGGGCATTCTGTAGGTTTTCGATAAGGGTAGTTTGGCTCTCTCGCTCTGTAGTGGCGCTCTCGTAGTTTTGTCGTAGAATAGTAACTTGTTCCTCTAGTTCCGAGACCTTATCAACCAAGCTCTCCTTGATGGATCGCTCTTCCATGGCGATAACTTCCCATTCGCCCATGGCGTTTGCAGTAGTCTCCATCTCCTCCTTAAGATGTTGGACATGTCGGACCAGTTCTTCTTTCTCCTTGCTCCAGTTCTGTGCTGATAGGTTGTTGCGACTTCGAAGAGTGTTGAGCTCCCTTGTCGCATCTTGTAGCTCCTCCTTTAGCTTGGTGACATCGTCTCCAGACGATACAGCGTTGCTTCTTAGTTCCTCGTTCTCTGCCTCGAGCTCTTCTATACGCTCCTTGCTTTCTTCGAGCTCTGCCTTGTCGCGCTTGAACCGGTCGCTCAGCGTCTGTTTGATCTTCTCAACTCGCCCAAGAAGAGTCTGGTATTCCTCTTCGGCATTCTCCTTGGCGGCATTGCTCTCCTCTAGATCGCTCTTGAGCTGTGTGACTTCGTTGCTGTGTGTCTCCTGGATGTTCTCGAGCTGCTTCCGTAGCTGTTCGACCTCGGCCCGCAAGGCCTCTCGTTCCTGGCTCATGGCCTCTAGCTTGGCGGAGGTATCTGAATCGTCGGGCTTTTCCTTTTCGCCATCAACCGGAGGGGGTGTGAGCCCGTTGCTCTGAGCCTTGGGCTCTACGGCATGCCCGTTACTGTAGACAGGGGGAGCTTCTTCGTTTACGACTTCGTCTGCATTGACCGGAGTTTCCTGTGGAGGTGATGCATGTCAGCGCGCGCGCAATTGCATGATATGGGAGGTGAGCATCATAACTACGTACGGGCTGAGTGGGTGTCTCGGGCTCGTCTTCGAGGGTCTCTTTATCTGAATCCTGCTGAGGGTCTGAACTACCACTAACAGGTTGCTCAGCAGCCTTGTTCTTGTTGGCGTTCTTCTTCTTCTTGTTGTTCTTCTTTTTTGACGACCCTGCACGAGTAGGAAGCGAGGCCCCATGGGTTAGGACACGTTCTCGAATCTCCATTTCCACGTCAATTGGCAGGGGTAGGGATCGCACGCACCTGAATTCGTCGCCTGGGTCGGGTTCGCTGCGACGGTAGAAGACATGGTGAGTTTTTTAGTCTGGATAGAGCATCCAGACCCAGATCTAGAGGTTCAATGTCGTGCAGATAATCCTAGCGCCTGTGGGTGGATTATAGGTTGCTTTAAGAGGAATAAACGGGAATTGGATGTTTGGTACGTGTCAGTAATTATTACTGACCCTCCCTCGTGTTAGGTTCCGTTGGTAGGTGGTCAATTTGCATGTCAGCAGCCACCAGCTGACGTACCTTACCTGGTGGAATTTAGTGGACTTGGCCTGGAAGTGCCCTGGAGTTCCGAGACGTTTCAACGGCTGATCTTCCGGCGAGGTCGGCTCCGAATTGTCGGCCGGCTACTACTGTAGCATTATATCAGTTGTATGAGTAAATGATTTTGATTATGAAAATATTCTGTTATCAACTTTCAAAAACCAATGGCCGACTGTGCTATATATACTGCGGCTGCTGTTCACGTACCTTGCAGGATCTAGATTCGAGAATAGCCTCCAATCACTGACTGAGGATGATGGTTCACTAGGTACTTACATATAATGGAACAGTAACTCATAGCTCAGCTCTCCCTGATTCAGTGTATGGATTTCTTCCAAACACTGCCAATTCTGTACCACAGTTCTGAGGACAAAATGTCCTTTTCTGTTCCTTTCTTAGTGAAACATCTTCGTTTGCACTGACTCACTTATTAGCAACTGCAGTCAGTACCAGATGCCATACAGAGTGACTCCCGTGATATGTCTGATCAGAAAACAGGGGGTTTTATTACTCTGTAAACTCAAGATGGCCCATCAATGACCCTCAATTAGCTGGTTGCTATACAGCGTTCCGTGTAAGAGACGCCATCATTAGCATTGGTGAGTTAAACTCAACATCTACAGGTTGGTATGCAAGATGTTCTCCTCGACGAGGGCTAAAATTAACTGAGATATGAATTCAAGGCTGATTTAAATATTCTTGCAAAAAATCAATTCAGTTAGCTCCCGTCTGAGCACCTTTGACATCACAAAATGCTGGACAAGATATTCTGGTTGAATGTCCAAGTGAAATTGAGCTTAGTCATATTTGAGTGGATCCTCACGATGCTATTTTCTCATCTGTCTCGCGCGTCGAATATCTTTTTTTCTTCTTCACATATTTTTACCCTTCGCAATCACATTTTTGAAAAAGACCATTGTTTCCCGTGGCTTTTTCGCGATCGAGCGCGAAGTAGACTATAACCGCCTTTCATAATCCCATTGCTTGCTCTTTTATTTCCTATGAGTGCTATGGGTTCGCTTATGTGCGTACATACATATCATGGTTGAGAACCTTTTTGTAGAAAAAGAAGAAGCGCGTGACTGATGACCCAACTTGCATTCGTTTCATTATACATGGATCTTTTTGAAACTATGTCTATGCCGCTTTGAAACTCCAAATCCCAATTGAATTGAACAATTCCGTACTCAAGCCTTTGCCTTTCGGCCCTTGCCTGCTTTTGTTGCCTTGCCCTTTGCCGCCTTGCCCTTGCCCTTGGGAGCTGGCTTCTCCTCGGTAATAACCTCAGTCTTCTCCTCGACGACTGTCTCAACGACCTCAGCGGGCTCCTCAACCTTGGGCTCCTCCTCCTTCTCAGCAGATGCATCCTCAATGGCCTTGGTCTCGCTCTCTCCGTTCTCAATAGCAGCGGGGGCTGGCACGTCCTTGATCTCGGGGACATTGAACTCATAACCAAGCTCCTTAAGCTTAGCAGCCTTCTTTGCGCGCTTAGAGTTCTCCTTTGTAACCTTGTTCGCCCATGCAGACTCGGTCAAGGGCTTCTCAAGCTTGTGGCCAGCCATCTTGTTCCAGGGAACCTTCTTGAATCGTCGGTTGGCACCCTTGAACAAATCATCGCGAACCTGCTCCTTAGGGATCATTCGGCACTTGAGGATATGGCCGAACAGAAGGTAGTTATCCATGGTCTTGCACACGATCTCGGCGGTAGATGCCTCCTCAAACTTGACGAAAGCATAGTGCTTGCTGGCACCGGTCTTCTTGTTTCGGGAAAGTCGTAGCGCAACGATGGGGCCAAATTGCTCAAAGTACTGTCTCATCTCATGCTCGTAGAAACCGTGGGGAATGCGGCCGATGTAGATAACTCCAGCTTCCTCGTCGGAAGCCTTGGCGGCCTTCTGGACATCCTTGGAGACCTTGGGAATCTTGCCGACATCCTGTCCCTGCTTGAAGCTAGAGTCGCCCTCGGTGATGTCCTCGTCGTCAGAGTCCAGCTCCTTCACGATCGCCTGAACTTCTTTGCCCTCCTCAGCCTCAGAATCGGAAGACTCATCGGGGATATCGAGTGTGGTGGTTTCCTCCTCGACGACCTTGACTTCCTCGGGCTTGCTCTTGGACTTTTGCGCCGGCTTGGTAGCGGTCTTTTTTGTAACAACAGTCTTCTTGACAGACTTTTGCTTCTTCAGCGACACAGGCGACGCATCCTCGGGGGCTGTAAAAGCTGTGTTAGCGACACAAGAAAAGCTATATCGTGGGCATTACGTCTTTACCTTTTCGCTTGGGCTGGGCAGCTTTAGCAGCGCCATGGGGCTTCTCGATGTCCGAAACGGCTAAGAAGCGTCAGCGCATGAAGATTAGTAACTCTCGAGTAACTTACACTTTCTCTTTCTCAATTCTGGGGCCATTGTGTCTGATTTGGTTGTCTTGTTGCTAGATTCTCAAAACCTAGACTCCCGCAGAAAAAGATGCGTGGACCATTGAAAAAAATTGGGATTCTGCCATGTCTGCTCTGGGCGGTGAAGAATCGCGTGCACTATCAGTTTATCGTAGTGGGGGTTGGGGTCCTTTCAGCGGCTTGATCCACTAAAAAGTGTCTGTAGCTTCTGAAGCTTACAATTCGGGCAGCACTGTGACATACAGAATAAGACCAATCTACACCGTACCTCATCAACCATTGCCTGGCAACTCAATTTATATTCTTCACTGAATACTGTCGACTCATATTGAACACTGAAGCTTCCTGTGAAATAGGAACCTAGCAGACAATAACTCTTTGACCTCAGCCATCTGAAACCAAGGCTTCTTAAACACAACCTAACAGTTCAGCACCCGGAACTCTCCATCTACATAGTTCGAGATTTGATTGCACAAGATGTCAAAAAAGCAAGAAAAACTGACACAAGAGGAGATATGGGATGACTCTGCCCTGATTGACTCTTGGAACGAAGCCCTACAAGAGTACAAGGTAAGTAGGTTCCCTCTATCGCAAACAGTTACTAACAGACTGCAGAAATATCACAGCATTCATGCTAAGGGCGGAAGTGTACGGGAGCTGGAGCCTCAAAATCAGTAAGTTGAATCCTCAAGAGGTGAGATTCACTCGGCTAACTCGTGAACAAAGGGCGGAGGCGGAGGCGGAGGCTGAGTCTGGATCTGAGCAACCCCAAGTTACAGAAACAGAAGAGATTGAGTTGGTATCGGGAGCAGCAGAACAAAACAAGGTGGGTTTGGCTATGTTGATCTGTGCCATGAGAATCTTGGCTTCATACGCTCAGACAACTAACATGGAAGCTTAGGAGATCCCATCATCGCGCAATGAGCCTAAGGAGCCAATCGCGTCCCAGGGGACTCCCTCATTTCCTATACAAACCGTCCTAGGTTCCGGTAAGTCAAGATCCTTGAATGGTATTTCTTGTCATATAGGACTAATCAAAATACACAGTCCAGGACGAAAGCCTCAAGAAACTCCTTATGTCATGGTACTATGCTGGGTACTACACAGGGTTGTACGAAGGGCAACAGCAAGCTCAGCAGAAGTAGGATGGTTCGTAAGCGAAGAAACAATTTTGCATCCTTGAAACACGGAAGAGCGGTAGTCATCCCCAATTTTGTCACAGAAAGTCATGGCATACGCATGGGTTCCTCGGTCGGGCTGTTGCCGTTGATGCTACGATGCAAGATCGGCCGCCGATTCACGTGGAAATGTTCATGGATGGAAGAGAACGGATGGATTCAAGAGAGGTTCGTGGCGTTTCCGTCGAAACGAGAGGCCTCAAGACGCCAAGGCCAGAATTTAGAGACTTCGTTGTAAGTTCATATCACGTCGAGATATAGCGACCGCAATTTGTGACCCAAGAGACTATACCAGCGCTAAGTACGGTGCAGGCAGGTCTCTTTCTCTGTGGATACAATACAATACTGCGCAGAGTATGGTTATCAGTTAAGCATCCATAGCAACACCAATGATACACGCAAAGTGATTAAGGCAGGTCACATATTAGGTCTCAAGCCCTGCAAGGAGATAAACTTTTTGTCGTCCGAATTATTGTGCCTGGAAGGGTCTATCGCGGATGAGACTACACTATGTCGATGAAACCTCACCGTTGACGATCAATGGTGAAACGGCCTCGGTGCCACTCAAACGGCGAGTATAAGCGTATGTATTTAATAGCTTGGCCCTTCTTGGCTTCATCAGTGAGCATCGGGTCGACGATATCATACTGTAATTGTGGTATGTATAATAGGAGCCGCAGGTGGCTGGACCTTGGACTCTGAGCACTCACGGAGTAGCCAAGTCCCGTTCTTGGCTTTGTCTGACCTGTCTCTTTGACGTCTCACCACTAAGAAGAGCAGCCCCTGTTAACGTTGGTTGATACGACCCTATATAGACTTAATTAAGCACGTTTGGGCCTATACCGGCCGCTACGTAAGAAGCCACCCCAATCATTATGTGTCGCATATTATTCGCTTGGCACTAGGAACAGCGCAAAAGGGTAAAACTCCAAAACACCAAACGTGATCCGAGACGGACCTGTCACAGAGACCACCCCCGCATCAACAAGCGTTTCACAGGGAGCCCGACCTCTAGTGTAGTTATGAGTCTACTCTATAGTTGATGATCGGATCTAGACAGACCGAAGCGAGCAAAGCTAAGATTCGGCTTCTTCAGCGGCCGTGTTTCGAAAATGTGTTTGAGGGCTTGTCTTTTCCAGGGGGTTACAGGCGTTAAACAGTTTCGCTCGTGAGAAGCATGGCAAGGTATAATAAGGCCACAGCAGTACCACGATTGTCAACAAACATCCCATCCCCATATCTCCATCTCTTTCTCACTCAATTGTTTCTTGTGCTTCATTCTTTTTGCACTTGAGAATTCCTTTCTTTGAAGGCAGGCCCTCTTCATTATTACTACTACTTACTTAGTCTCTTAATCGCTAGATCGATCTCCCATCTCGACTCGAGCATCTCGCAATCTTTTTCCTTTTCCACTTTAATACCCTCAAGTTTAAACATGAAAGCTTCAACTAGTCTGGCCGTGGCCGCCGCCTTTGCGCCCTTGACCATGGCGCGTTTCCTCGACTTTGCTCAGCCTGAACGACGGGATCACCCTATGCCTGCCGAAGCTGTACCTGCGGAAGCCATGCCTGCAGAGGCCATGCCTGCTGGATACCCTCTCCCTGCAGAGATTCTCAATGGACACAAGAAGGTCGTGTCGGGAGGTCACAAGATCTCAAAGACCGAGATCATCATCATCTGGGCAAACCCTGGAGCTGGTGCCGAGACAACCACCATCAACGAAAAGGTCACAGTCACTGAGACCGTCACCAAGGGAGGCGAGGCCGTTGCTACTCCTGCAGCTCCTCAACAGCACACCGTCACTGTTGGTGGCCCAGGAGGTCTAGTCTACCAGCCTGAGCAGCTTGACAATATTCCCATTGGCGACACTGTTGTCTTCGAGTTCCTGTCACAGAACCACACCGTCTCTCAGTCTGGTTTCGACAAGCCTTGTGCTCTTCTCGAGGGTGGAATGGACTCTGGTTTCATGCCCAACCCCAACAACACCGTTTCTCCTCCCCCCCAAGTCGCTATGCAAGTCATGGTTGACACTCCTCTCTGTAAGTGTCAAACGCAATTATATCCCGATTATCATACTAACCTTTGAAGGGTTCTACTGCAAGCAAGGCAACCACTGTGGTAAGGGTATGGTCTTCTCCATCAACCCTACCGCTGAGAAGACTCAGGCCAAGTTCAAGGAGATGGCCATCCAACAGAATGGCGATGGCAAGGCTACTCCCATCACAGGCGGCGATGCTGCCCCTGCACCTCCCGCACCTCCTGCTGAGTCCAAGCCTGCTGAGGCTGCTCCCCCGGCCCCCGCTGCCCCTGAAGCCACAGGAGTTGTCCCTGGAAAGGGTACCATCGGCGGCGATGGCAGCTGTGTATGCATGGTCTCCTGCTCAGCTGGTGGATTCCCAGCTCAGGCCCAAGGCATCAACTCATTTGGCGGCATGGGTGGTAAGTCATCTTCAAGTCTTCAATCAAATGCAAAATACTAACGGTCCTCTAGGTGCCATGCCTTACAAGTTGGATAGTGTGGTTTAAGTTGAGCAATGACATGAAATTCTTGGAGGTGTTGATACCACGGACGATTTGAGTTTGAATATGTTATTACTTGAATGTACCATTTACGGGTTTTAGACGACTGGGATTATGTTTGGGTACCTGGCCTAGATGGCTGATAAAATCTTCACGGGTTTGAAGATCGGTTTAGGTAGTTTAATGGGACAAAGCTTTATGGGAGAAATCATGATACCTTGTAACATTTGGTGAAGTTGCTATGCATGACATTCACGTAGTAGTTATGCCGGGAAGTACGTGCCTTTTATGTATCACAAGAGAGCCGATATGTCAACGAGAACCATACAGATATAATGATAGTCTCTGTTTCCAAGTCCATGGTACAACCTTTATAGTACAGTATTGTAAACCCCTGAGGGTAACCAACCTTATCCTTACTCCTGAGACAATGCAAAACCACGCTTTTTATCCATTTCCTTATGCCATCCAGTCTATTCCAGATTCCATTTATATAATTATGTCCCGCCCATCTCAAGATCTGGATCAACCTCTGTTCCTAGATCCCGGTCCTCAACGAACCGACGCCCGACAAGTTCGTCGGGTAGATATGTCTGCTTCACCTGCCCATCACGGTAGTTCGGTGGATACTTGTACTCAGCGCCATATCCCATGTCACGCATGAGTCTTGTAGGAGCGTTTCGCAAGTGTAGAGGCACAGGAAGACCGGCCACACCCGGTTCGCGTAAGGCTGCATAGGCATTGTTGAGGGCACGGTAGGCCTTTGTGCTCTTGGGCGCATTACATAGCGCAACAGTGCAGTGCGCCAGAGGGATCCTAGCTTCTGGCATGCCAATTTGTTGTGTGGCTGTGTATGTTGCCGTCGCAAGTGGCAGGAGGGTGTTATCCGCCAGACCAACGTCCTCAGAAGCAATGACAACCATGCGGCGGGCGATGAATAAGGGGTCCTCGCCGGATTGTAGCATGCGCGCAAGGTAGTAGAGTGCGGCATCTGCATCGTTTCCACGGACTGATTTGTGGAAAGCAGAAATAGTATCATAATGTTGGTCCCCTGCACGATCGTAGACCAGAGTCTTGGTAAGGGCGGCCTTGATATCTTCTTGTGTGATACCCTCGCGGGTTGTGAGCGAAAGGGCGAGCTCGAGGAGATTCAAGGCAGTACGAGCATCACCATCCGCAAAGCGTGCCAGGTAGGTCACCATAGCTTCGTCCAATAGTGGTGTTTGCGGATAAACCGATTCTTCCTCCTTGATTGCCCGCTGTAAAATGCGTACTACATCCTCTGTTGTAAGAGACTGCAACGTAAAGGTACGGCATCGGGAGAGCAAAGCATTTGCCACCTTGAAAGAAGGGTTCTCGGTAGTTGCGCCGATGAGCGTCACAGTACCGGCCTCAACAGGCTTAAGGAACACGTCTTGCTGGGCCTTATTGAAGCGATGAATCTCGTCACAAAAGATTATGGTCTTGCGACCAGTGAGGGCAAGATCGTTCATCGCCTCTTGGAAGTATTTCTTGCACTCGCTGACTCCTGTGCTTGTCGCATTGAGTTCGATGAACCGACTACCGACCATGCGAGCGATACATCGTGCTATTGTTGTCTTTCCTGTGCCTGAAGCACCCCAAAGAATCATTGAGGGTACTTGGTTCGACTCGATAAGAGAGCGCAGCACACCGTTTGGCCCAACTAGATCTTGTCCGCATACTTCGTCGAGGTTTCGTGGTCGCATTCGTTCGGCCAAGGGCGCAGCTCGTGTTGTCTTTGTCTTCTTCACCACTCTTCCATCTTGCTCCGTATTCGGAGACCAAGTACTCGTTCCGTTGGCATTCTCGCCGTTTGTCGTCTCTTCCGCATTCTTTGAGCTTGCTAGTCCATGACCCGGGCCCTCCTCGAAAGTCCTCTTCTTCCCTGCTATAGGCTGTAATGCTCCGTTCACAGGAGTCGCTATTCGGTTCTCAGAGGCAGCTTGTCGTTTTGGCGCGGGCGTAGAGAAGAAGTTGGAAGCGTTTCGTTTTTGAGAATTACTTTGTGGCGTCTGTGATTGCGGCGGTGTCGGGGCCTTCTCTTTGTCTATGATGAAGCTCTCGCATCCTGAGTCGATGTGGCTGTTGATCTCGGAGGACTTGACAGGCTTGTTGCAGATGGGGCAGTCGACCGCCATGGTCGCTGTAGTCGTGCCGATCACCGAATCACAAAGGGCGAGGTTGGCTTGGTTTGCTATGCGACTTGGTAGGTGACGTTAGGTTGTGGTGAGTTGGCATCGGTTGGTTGGTAGATTAGAGTCAGGTCATGCATCGAAGGGAATGGAGCTTGGAGGTGAAAGCTAAGACTCGACCACTGGCAGTGAACAAAATAGGGTGGACCGTACCTGAACTAACTAAAACGCGTGCAACAAACAAGCCCGTGTTCAAATCATGGGGACCAATCCCCGAACAACGGGCCGCTCTCGGATCCATATAATCGGTATTTGCTAGTCTGTACTCCGTACTACAGCCGTCTACCACTGTCATCTATCCCTCATACAGTTTCACGACATTTCACTACACATTATGAACAGTTTGGAATCAAAAGATTGCATTGGTTTATCTTGGCTATGGCGACAGCCATTTCAATAGCCCCGTTGACTAAATTGCTAAAAACCCTTAACATAACTCCATGATAATGCTTCAACGACCACCAATCCCTTTCATGCTCGTTCCATAACGCCTGGGCCGCCAAGCCGATATATATTTGCATCTCAATGCTGTACCAATGTTCGATTTCTTTACGCTGATGTCTTGAGTGACCGCACTTTAGGTGATGCTATGCTTGTCTCGGCCTTGCGTTTGCCTAGTACTGGTGTGTTTTCGCGGTCTCGTGTTGCTTCTGCATGACATGATGCGTGATACGCTCGGTCGCCGACTAAAACTGTGTCTAGCCATACCCATTCTTGTGCCGTATCGAGCCATTTGTTCTCAAACTTGTCCTGGCAGATTGGGCAAACGGTGTTGATACGGCGAGATGCATCAGGAACAAGAATGTACTTTGGCTTAGCAGCCTCGGATGCCTTTGAGGCCTGAGCGGCAACATCCTCGGTCGTGGGGAGGTGGTCGACGTCGACGGCCTCTCTTGACTTGAGCCAGTCCTGTACTGTTGTTAGTAATTTTGTATTGTGAGGAGGTAGTGTAACTTACGCGTTGATCAACGTACCAACTCCGGTGCATACCTCGCTTCTCGGCTTCGTTGGTTCGCTGGTGGACACGGAAATGCCAGTCCATATGAGCAATCTTCTGCTTTTTTCCAACTGGATCGTCTCGAAACCGTCTACCACATTGGGTACAAGGTTGGCCCAGGTCGTTATGCAGCGCCCTGATCAAAGAAGGCTGACAGGGTTGTTTGAGAGCGGCCACATTGATACCTCCTTGTACTGGAATTGACGGGGGCGTTGCTGAAGGAGCAGGAGGGAGTAGGCCTGACTTTCGTAGTTGATCAAGAAGACTCCAAGGGGCTGCGTTTGCTGCTGGCCCTGGCCCTGGTGCTGGTGCCTGGGACATCGTAGGCATTGGAGTCATCCCAGGTATCGTCGGTATCGACATTGCTGGAATAGGAGCCATGGCTGGCATCGCAGACATGTTTGGCAAAGGTGGCTTTGGTGGTTCAGGACGAACCTGAGGAGGCTGGGGAGTCGGTGTTGAGCTCGAAGGTGTAGCCGACTTTCTTGCCATCAAGGCGGCCAAGGCTCCTGGGCCAAAGAGCGCATCAAGCGTCACACCTTCTTGCGCCGGAGCCGGAGCTGCAGACGGGGGAAGGGCTACGGACACTGGAGGTATGGGGCGTGCTTGAACGGGCACAGGAGGAGTAGGTGCAGGCCTTTGAGTCAGAGGCGCCATCATGTTTACGGCAGCAAGTTCAGTTACTCGTCTCTTAATGAGCTCAAGCTGATCCGGAGGCAAGCTAGTGCTGTTCACAACGCCCTGCAGCTCATGAAGTGCTCTTAATCTAGTCTGAACATCAACATTTTGGGGATTGCGCGAGGCTTCCGCCTGCGTGGCAACAATTAGATTCCGAATGTCATTGCTCAATGACTGTCCTCCATTTGAAGTGTATTGCTGGGCTGGATGGCCTGGAGGGTATCTCGTCCCAGGCGGTGTCGGAGTATCACGATGAGGCACGGCAGATCGCGGTCGCCCAGGCATCATTCCCGCTTGGGGCATGCTTACGGCGCGTGCCTTCAAGAGTGCATTTTCAATAGGACGCACCAACTCGTGCGAAAAGACGGGCCTGCTGTCCATTGACCCAGGAACAGGCTCCTTCCATGTTCTAAGCATCTCCTCCATTTTTCGACGAACTGGTTGATCGACTACTGCATAAGACTCCATAAAGGTCTTGAACAGATTGCGGCCGAAGTAGAGAGTGTATGGTGTGCCGACATTTTTCACGATCGAGTCGAGTACATACAGAGCAGGAAGTTTCTTGTTCGGTGGCGCCTACGCGAAAATTAGCATTGAGTTGAATTGGACTGTTCGTGCGCATTCATATTGCGCATCAGGATTCGATCTTACCTTGAGGATGTGTTGTTGCAAAACTTCGGCGATAGCTAGGGCATGTTCAGTATTCTCACGAGCAATGACTGTCAGGTTGCTAATCTCGAAGCGCATGTTGGAGGACAGATCCTCCAAGGCCATGCGGTAATCCTCCGCCACCTCAGCAGAGTCTCCAGACATGATAGCGGTGATGGAGACGAGCGCAACTGGTCGTGTGAGGTAAAGAGATGGTAATGGTGATGATTGGGCTAGGCACAGGTCAAGCTTAGTAGCGATAGGCTACGGAAACCGCTGGCGTCGGGCCTGGAACAACAATTGCGGATGCCTGAGGCTCCACTCAACAATAGATCAGGGACGGAGCACAGAGTAGTCGCGATTCAAATGCAGGAAAAAGCAACAAAGAGACTGGTTTCTCCTGAATAGAAGAGGCCAAGGAAAGAAGCCAACTTATAAACAGTTCCCCTGAATGTACAGCTACTCCTTGATCTATTTTCGTACCAAAAGTCTTTATTGTTGCGCAAGGATTGCGAGTTCTTTGTATTGACTACTAATAAATTGCATCTGAAAGAAGAGGAGAGAGAAGGAAAATGAACATCATGTAATGGATGCCAGGCCGCCTTTAAATTTGCGGCTTTTGAACCTTACTCCCTCAGGCATTGGTTGTTCCTTGCCGGCTGACAAATATAGTCGGGCCAAGTGCGTGCTACGCCAGGAGGTTATCGTGTAAGGCCCCAAGGGCCCTGAACTTAAGACCTCCAATTGCGAACTTAAAACCAATACAAATTCCACAAAGTTCTCGGGAAAGTTCGATTCTCAACATTGCTACATAGTCACTTTAACATAAGGCTGTTCATAAGATGAGAAACAGTGGATTGAGAAGAAACAAGTCTGCATAAGTACATGAGCCTTATGAATATTAATCTCAGAAACACAATTGAGTTTGAATATGATTTGTTGAACTGGTTGTAAAGAAAGTTTGGCAAATGGTATCCCTGCTAGCAAGCAAATAATGAAAGCCATAAATCCAAAACGTGGTATCGCTGACTCCTAATGCCTTAACGCCCTTCTACCTTTTTTCCTTCACGCACGCATCCTTTGCAGTTACAATTTTCCGAGTTGCACTGCACATTCTCCTTGTTCTTAACAGCCTGTGCCGATTGCTTCTTGTCCTCCGCTGCTTTACGCGCTTTCTCCTATTTGCGCGCCGATTCTTCCTAGAACCGAGACATGTGCGCCTCCGAGTACATGCTTGGGCTATGAGGGCGAATATTCATCGGGTGCAGGGCTGTATCTGGGCGACGAACTTCGGGGACGATGGGACTACGGCGATCCTCGCCAGAGTCGTGTGACTGCCGGCCGAGGGAAGAGGGTTCTTGATGCTCGTAGTGAGGAGGAGGAGGGGCATTACGCTCAAGGTCACGCTCCCGAGTGATAGGCTGACTTATGGTAGGTCGTCGGGGTGTGGACTCGTTCTTCCTGTCCCAAAAGAATCTCTTGAAAGTATTCTTGGGTCGATCTTCATTAGTAAATGATGCGCTGTAGTTAGACTGGGGCTTGCCGAACGATTCATCGTCCGCGAGGGATCCATTGGACCGAATCTTGCGAGCATTGACGTTAACACCTCGGAAGGCGAAAGTGCAGATGAGGTTCGTAACGCCGAAGATGGAGGTCAGGATGCCAGCGGACACGATAAGTCGCCAGAAGGGAAGGCCCAACTCATCGCGACTATAGTCCGACGAATTGAGCTTGCCGAGGAGGTTCGTCCCAATCAATATCAGACCGATTCCAAGCCAAAAGAGGCCGTGTTCATCGGAGAATACGGGCCAATGATTGGCGAAATACGCTCGGCAGAATGGCAACTCGGAGATGACGAGGAATATGGTGGCTGAACTCATCATCGCGAGAGAGAGAGCCTCGAAAAAGAACCAGCCTTGGGAGGTATTGATCTTGATGATGAGGACCCAACAAGAAGCAGCGGCGGTCAGGAGGCTGATGATCGTGAAAGCACGCAGGATCTGGAGGACGATCATGCCTGAGCCCCAGGCTCGCTGACTAAATCCGAACATGGCGGGCTATGGCGTATTTGGCAGATAGGGAAAAATGAATGAAATGTTGTTGAGTTACGACTGAAGGCCGAGAAAATATTGAGATGAAGTTTTGATAAGGAAGGAAGAAGGCTAGGGGAAGTGGTTAGACGAGGCTTTTCTTGTTGTACCTAAGGTAGGCAACTCAAGGACTTACTTTGAAGTAGTAAAGTGTGATATTTGAGTCGTGTAGAAACTTTTGAATCGAAGATATAGTCACGACAGTGAAGTGAAGTTTGTCGGAAGTAAGTGAAAGTTATCGGTGAGTTGGTTTATAAGTGAGTCGAAGCTTGCACAAATGAGAAAGTGTATGTGATATTGGAACCAGCCCGAACAGTCAATAGGTGAACAAGAGGAAGTCAAAGAAGAGAAGGTCTAATGATAGGAAAATAGGTCAATGAAGGTGATTGAACACCATTGTTGGGGTTTGAATGAACGAAGAACAATAGGAAAATGGGGAGGGGTTTGCCACCTCAACAGCTGGCACAGGCAGACTTTAAGAGCGACTGCCTATGCACACATCAGTCACACTCTTTGTTGGAAACGATGCGACCTGCAGAACAAACTTTTGGTTGGCCCCTGCATGCGGTTTCTCGTCATGGCATGGATGTGAAGCTGGAGAGCCAACCAAAAGGGAGGCGACTCACGATTCGATCGTTTCCCGCATCGAATCGTATCAACGATTTACTCTGATGCTGGGCTCCACTCGGGCAGTCAATAGTGTCAGAAATGCAGAGAACCATCAGCGCTGCCGTGTCATGGCCGCCGTGCCTGGCCGCGAGCTGCTGCTATTCAGACTCGGTTTCAGCGGTTCCTTGCTCTGTGTGGAGGGCTCAGATGGGCAGCAACAGGTCGCAGCGACTCAGACCAGTCGACCCAGGTCAGCGCCTAAGTCTGGTGCTCGTGCGATTTCATCCGCAAGCGCTGTCGTCTTGAACGTTGGGCGCCATCGCTGGATGGTTTGTTATATTTGAATCTCAAGACCGGGGTTGAGACGGGGCACGATTGGCTGTCCTGTGTCGAAACGTTGTTTCAGGCCTTGCACTACGAGCCGGGGCTCTAAGTGGGCCTCACTACCAACGTTAAGTGGCCAAGAAAATGGTCTCCACTGAAATATAGAGGCTTCATGATGAATGAGAGCTAGAGTCATCTAATGCGCAGAAAAGTTGATTCATTAAATTGTTCAGGTAAACATAAACAACACCGCTAATGCATGATGGGCATATTACTGTTGAAGGACGACGCTGGTTCTGTAGCTTGTACAGCAAAGACTCAAGCAAACAACCTACCAGGGTGTCCAGCATCTGAACAAATGCTGAAAACCAAATCCAGCTCGCGGCCAACTTCTGAAAGTTTCTCCCATCTTTCAGCTCACTCAAGTAAGCCCCCAAAAACAAGCAGGATCTCGTTTTCGTATGCTAGGGTCGCTTATTGCTAGGCCAAAGACCCAGTCAGGCGCTTGTGCTATGTTGAACGGAGCCTTAGCCGCGATGCTATTTTTGACCAACCAGGTGTAAGCGCTGGAGTTCGAAATAGCATCTCGTAGGGCTGTTAGTGTCTTCATTCACAACTTTAATGAACCTGGCTGTGATAAACGAGTTGAGATTATTTCTGAAGCTCTGATTCACTTTAATTTTAGATTATTTAGTCACTCTTTTTCGCAATGTCATGTCATTCAGATATAGATGCGCTCATTGATGAAACCAGGAGCTGGCCACAATGCACGTTCTGCATCTATGTTTAGGCCCCCACAGGGAGTAAGAAAACATTGGACCTTAATATAAGGTGTCGAGATAAAGTCTTTTTATCATTTAGGATTAAGGTCCTGAGTTTTCTTTCCTTCCCTAGGCCCTTTCAGGTACCCTGTATGTACTGCCAGGTCCCACAAACGACATGGGGTTGCCAAAGTAAACCAGTTTTGTAAATGAATATATGTATACGTAAATTAACTGTTACATGGACTTGTCTCATGTCTGAATACCCTCGGATAAGTTCCATTTCAAAAGGATGCATGAAATGAATCAAGTAGCCTCTCAGATCGTGTACTAGAGTCACTCTGTAGGCATGATGAAGAACGTGGCCCTGGAACCTGCAAACTGTGTTAATGAGTATATTGATGTCGATTCTTCGTAACGATGCCAGAAGTGATGGATCGTGAATATGCTATCCGCTATGTAACGCCTGAAATCGAACCTGAAAACGCCGTGCCCATGCTGTTTCGTGTATATATGCTCCTAATCATCTTGAGTCAGGTCTATAAATCCAACATCGCTGGCCCGAAAAATCTTAGCCTTAACTCCTCTGCGCTCTAGAGCTGCTGTCTCCCTAGCCATTAGCTCGTCGCGCTCTTCAGCGTCGACCTCCACCTCTTCGTAGAAACCCATGGCGCTGGCCTTTGGGATGAGTAACTTCTTCTTCCGCGCAGGTGCAGGACTTGGGGTTGCATTTCGATCCGGTGGTAAGGAGGACTGCTGTCGTTTGTTCGGGGATGCAGCGGAGCGTGAGATGAGGGAGGAGAGGGAAGCAAGATCGGCTGACGAATCACTATCAAAGTCATCATCAAAACTCAGTTGAGATTTTGACTGCTGATATTTGGAAGCTGAGAGTAAAGAACTTGAAGCAGAAGTCTGGGACGAACTCGTGTTCTTGGACTTTTTCGTGAACATGTCCATGGACATCTGTTTCATCTTGGGAGGTCCAGATGACTGAGAAGAAGTTGGCGGTTTTGCACGCCTCGCGTTCAACGCCTCGTCTTTCAACCTTTGCGGAGAGCCACTTGACGCAGGAATCGCACACATCGGGTTAGGTAAGTCGCGAGAGGCAGGCACACGAGTCCTTGGCCGTGGCGAAGGCGAAGGTGAAGGGGAAGTGGGAGGCGAGTCAGCTGCACAGGGTGGGCTAGATGTGATGATAATCGCTTGCTGTTCATTTGTAGGCCTTTGTGTCCTAGGGGTCACCTGTGAGCTGGCAAGTGTCCAAGGGGTTTTTGTCTGCCTGACGGTACTACCCGAGGTCGACGCAGATTGCTTACTTGGCTCCAGAGGTGACGGTATTCGCAAGCGGCGGGATGTTGTCGGTCGGATCGGCGAAGTGATTGCTTCGTTCTCTTTAGACAACGCCTTGGAAGTCACAGTAGAGACAGTATGAGGCTTGCTTGCTCGCACAAACTTGTTAAGCGCGCCAGCAGGCATCCCCGTCTTCGGACCAGGTTTGGACCTTGTTGCCTTCGTTTTGGGTTCCTTTGCTTGATGTTTCTTCTTCTCTGCAGCCTTTTGCACAACCTGAGCGTCTGCGAGCGCCTCTGGTATCCTCGACTTTGCCAATATTTCCAATGCCCAGACACCTTGCCGCCCTGAAGGGTTAAAAGGAGCCGGCTGCCGTTTCGCCGTAGATTCCTCGATGTTCTCTGCGTCGTCGATTTCGTCATCGCTGTTCAGTGCCAGCCCACCTCGAGCTTGCACTATCTTTTCATCTTCCTCTTTGGACAAATCGATGGGCACAATTTCGCTTGGAATGTGCTGTATGCGAACTTGTGACACCAAGTCATTCTTGAGATCGGACCTAAACCCTGCAATCCCTTTGACGTAGTCTGCGTTGTCATGTCCTTCAAGAGCCTGCAACTTCTGGACAAGCACTGCATGAGAAAGCACCTTGATGAACTTGAGAGCGCCAACTCGGTAATCCCAGCCAAAGACCTCTCTAGAAAACTCTCTTAGGTCTTCAAACTGGATCTCTCTTTTCAGATGAACCTTCTCTCGGATCTCGTCTATACTTTCCCTGGGAGACACAACAGGATGTGTGTAGTAGCGTAGAACCTTGAAGTCTGGGAAGGTTTCCGGTATCGCCAAGGCCTTGTTCTTCCTCTTGAAATGACCGCTCTCGTTGGTGCGAAGCTCATGTATTAGGGAGTTTCTCCAAGCTGTTGTTCCTTCTTTGTCCACTGCCTTCAACCGGCAGAGGTCTCTGCCAAAGCCAGCTTTGGCAGCTTCAACAGCCACTTTGATGCCACAGCCGGGGAGCCCATTAGGGTCGTAGTCGCCACCGCTCATCAAAGCAACAAGAACCATGCCTTCGCGATCCAAACCATGTTGATCGAGTTTCATTTTCTCAGTATCGAACAGAGAGACGTGCGTCGGCGTTGTGTCTCGTTTTGATGCCGGTGACCACTGACGCAGCATTTTGGTGCATCCAAACATCAGAGCGTCAACATCTTCTGTTAGAACCATGTCTACGATGCCATGCTTCTGCAACAGAGCGCACTCCGCCTCAGCTTCTCCAGGCGCATCGTGGGTGTTGCAGCCAAATAGCCGAATTAACCGTTTCGCTTGTGCATTGGCGAAGGAGTCGCCTCGACCGGATTTCTTGTTTCGCTTGACCGCAGGCTTGTATGGACCGTCGAAAACAAAGATAGGCTCGACTGGACATGCCAGCAGACGAACGAGTCGGTAGAATAAAGTTCGAATTTCGGGGTTGGTGCCGCCTGACTGTGTTAGAGAAGTGCTTCAGTATCTCAGTGGCTGTGATGTACCTTGCGCCGCCTGATTTTGAAATTGCCAAATTGCAATATCAATCGCTATTCGTAATGGCCGTCCCTTATTCTCTAGTGACTCGGCGGCGAGTTTCAGTAAAGCCACTCTTTCGCCTTCGCCCACCTCCTGGTAGATCCTGAAGAAATTAGCCTGTAATCTTTGCAATATATAACACGCTATCCTCACCCTTTGATACCCATTTGAACATCAGAAAGACCTTGAAGCAACCCGCCCCAAACTCTCCTGATTCGATAGTCGATGATGTAGGTTGAAGTTCACGGTTCAAGGTTGCCCCACGTCGCTGCGGTTACCAGTGACCACTGTTTTCTTAACCAGTGAAGGCGGCAGATCGGCGCTAAAAACGCCGACTTCAAATAGCCATTCAACCAGCCAGCCTTAAGACAAGTTACATGGTTAGGTACGCCCTGACCAGGGCATCTCATCGTCAACATCGAACAAAGGGAAGAAGCAGGAAACACAGAAGAATTCATCTCACTCGCGATGGCCTCTGGATCTGGGTCTACACTTGCTCATAGAAGCGTGGCTAGTATCCGTGGAGGTCCTCCTCAGGGGCCAAGTCCGTCGACTCCACATACCCCGAATCGCTCATCTGTTATTTCATCCTACGGCTCACCATCGACTATCCGTGCCGATGACGAGTTCATCGTTGTTGAGCTAGGCTCACGCCATATCAGAGTGGGATTTGCGGGCGACACATCTCCAAGAGTCGTTCTTCAATGCAGCCCTGAAGATCAAAGGCGGGCTGGAGACTTCAGAGGATGGCAGCAACCGAAACGGTCACCTGGCTTGCAATGGTCAAAGGAACATGAGTTTTGGCGATATGATCTAAGAGATATAGAGCTTGGCCTATATCAGGATAAGCTGGAGCGTGTGCTACATGATGCTTTCTCAAAGTTTGTCTTGGATGAATCTCACAAGGGATAGTTGCTTACATGCATACAGGTACTTGCTTATCGATTCCAGACCACGAAGACTTGGACTGGTTTTGGACTCTGGAGTACCTCTTCCACTGTTGACAGCCACTTTGGATACCCTGTTTAGCAGATTTCAGTCACCGACTATCTCTCTCATGTCAGCACCATCCATGTCGGCCATCTCAGCAGGTGTCAGATCCGCATTGGTGATAGATATGGGCTGGGCAGAAACTGTCATCACCAGTGTCTATGAATACCGGGAAGTCAAGACAACACGTACAGTCCGAGGCGGCAGAGCACTTTTAGACACGCTTTACAAAACCATCGAGCCATTAATACCAGGTGAACATGATGTTACCAAACAACGAGCGTTAGGCTTTGAGGAATGCGAGGACATCATGTGTCGTTTGATGTGGTGCAAGCCATCAGAATTTCGATCATCCCAGCGACAGTCGACCCAGCTAGAAACAGTTGACGAGCAAGAAGAGATCGAAGCTGAGTCGGCGCAAGCTGGTATTCCAACAGGGGTCGCCCAAATACCCGTTAACACAAGTCGTCGCCCATTGACAGTGGAGCTTCCCTTTGAGAAGCTTGCAGAGGTCTGCGACGATACCTTCTTCGACCCTTCAGCAGACCGAGCGACATTTGACGACGATGAATTACCGCTGCACCTGCTATTGTATAGACATCTTTTACAACTACCACTGGATGTACGAGCACTCTGCATGTCGCGCATAATGTTCACAGGAGGATGTTCCAATATCTTGGGCATCAAGCAACGGATTGTTGACGATCTCACAGCTATCGTCAACAAGAGGGGATGGGAGCCAGTGTTCGGAAAGGTTGTGGACAAGAATCGCAATAGTGCTAGGATTCATCAGCAGTCCAGCGCCACTTCTCCTACAGAAGGCTCGCCATCCTCATCACCAGGTGAAGACGAACAACGCAAATCTCCCAAGAACGCAGCCGATTCAAAGGCAGAGCACGACCCGATAGAAGCCAAGGTTTCACGACAGCGGGCCACGGTTCCACAATTTAAGGGCCAAATCCGGGTGATCCATACTCTTGGGCCGTGGATTGGAGGTAGCCTACTCTGTCAGTTGAAGATTCCTGCCATGGCGGTTATCGATCGTGAGCCGTGGCTCGCACAAGGCGCCAACGGAGCTACTCGGCCTAGCGAGGTGGACTTCAAGGCACAACACAGACAGAGCGTGCAGGCAGGAGGCTATGCTCGGGGAGGTGGAGGACATCACGGAAACTGGACTCTAGGTGTATGGGGCTACCTGTAGGAGGTTCAACGTTGAGAGATATCATGACATGAGATGAGGAATATGTTGGTGGTGTGGACAGAGAACTAGATGAGGTAGGCTAGGTTAGTAGGCAACCAAATACCCGATTTACGATGAGATCAACATAATTGGCCCAATTGCAATGTTTGTCTATTTGCCAAGAATGAGTGAATGAATACATGAACGTCGATGTCCCATTCCGTGATGGTCCGTATGGTAGTCTATTCGTTCGGGTAATTGCATTAAGCAAGCTCTCCACTGTTAAGCTTCGGCAGCCGATGTCAAGCTCCAAACTCGCTGATCAGGTAGTCTAGCTTAGTACCTCAGTCATGCTTCATATGAGCTGCTCACCAATTCAACATCCACCATGAACAGGACATTATCGCGTCTACGGTGTCGCGCTCTACACCCGAGGCTCAATCCACTGTTGGCTCGTAGTTTCGCAGATGTGAAGCGGCCTCCTTCAGCGCCAAAACCCATCGTCGATATCAAGCACATCAGACAACACGCAGAACTTTACCAGCAGACTTGCGTGGAGCGCAACTATCGCAACCAGGCGCAAAACCCAGCTAAAATTCTAGAACTTCACGCGAGATGGCAGGATCTTCAGCGGCAGGGTCGCGCATTGCGCGAGAGGTCGAATTTGTTGAGGAGACAGCTTGCGAATCCGGCGACGAGCAGCGATGATGAGGATCTCAAGGAAGTGCGCCAATTGACCCGTGAGCAGATCCAGGAGGAGGCGCGACAACTCAAACAGGATCTCTCGGCAATTGAAAAAGGAGAATCGCAGGCCGTTACGCAAATGGAGGAGTTGGCGCTCGAGTTACCTAATCTCACTCATCCTGATACTCCAAAGGGAAGCGATTTTGAAGTTATGAGCTACATCAACGACCCACCCACTTTTAAGGAATCACCTGAGGATAAAATCTGGCGGTCTCATGTTCACATCGGTTCAGAGCTTGGTATCTTTGACTTTGCTGGCGCTGCTACTGCTTCCGGTTGGGGTTGGTATTATCTTCTTGGTGAGGCTGCTCAACTGGAGCAAGCCTTGGTTCAATATGCCCTCGCCGTTGCAACCCGTCATGGTTGGACACAAGTATCGCCCCCTAGCATGGTATATAGCCACATTGGGGCTGCCTGTGGATTCCAGCCTCGCGACCTGAACGGAGAGCAACAAGTCTACACTATCGCCCAGTCAGCCGAAGATGCTGAGCGCGGTGTTCCCGAAATGTGCCTTACTGGAACATCTGAGATCGCACTTGCAGGAATGAAGGCCAACACTACCCTTGATTCCGAAGACCTACCTCTCAAGCGAGTTGCTGTCTCTCGCTGCTATCGCGCCGAAGCTGGAGCCCGTGGTGCTGACACCAAGGGTCTATACCGAGTACATGAGTTCACCAAGGTGGAAATGTTCGCATGGACAGCACCCGACGAGGATGTCGCCCAGGAACTCTTTGACGAGATGCTTGACTTGCAGACCGAGATCCTGTCTTCACTTGGACTCTACTGCCGTATTCTCTCTATGCCTTCCCACGATCTCGGCGCATCAGCCACCCGCAAGATCGACATGGAGGCTTTTTTCCCCAGCCGTCGCGACAACTGGGGTGAAGTCACATCAGCAAGTATGTGCACCGACTACCAAACCCGCCGCCTTGGCACACGAACACGCATTGATGGCAAGCTCGCCTTCCCCTGGACTTCCAATGGTACTGCCCTGGCTGTCCCTCGTGTGATAGCAGCTATTTTGGAGAATGGCTGGGATGAAGAGGCCAAGACTGTCACAATTCCCGAGTGCTTGCGGCCATGGATGGATGGTAAAGAAAAGATTGGTCTTGGGGGACGTCGTTCGAGCGTGGATCGTGTGTAAGTTTTAAATGAGGGATGAAGCATGGCTTTGACTGCGTGCGTGTACGAATGGAGAATATGACGGAGGCATAATTGCTATGAAATCTTGATATCTTATTTAATATGAAACGCAAGGCGTGATCTATCATTGAATATAAAGCCGTGTCCTTTCTAGCCTCTGTACCATCTATCCTGAGAAGTCTGGAGACATATACCTTATCACCACACCAAGTTCTTTACTTTCCTCTCCCAACCTGGCATCCTGAACTCCATACCTGGACTTCCCCTCCACCTATACCATCCTGACATTTTCTTCATTGCCCCAACCCAACCTAGTTCTCCTCTTCTCCATGCTCTACCTCTAGTTCCATCTCCTCTATGCTGCACAACATACACGCCTCCGTCCGACGCTGTCGTCAACTTTGCTTCCCCACGCTCTGGATCACCACTGCTATGGTATTCTCGTCGCCGCGGTGTTCTATTCGCTTGGAATCGTTTGTTGTGATCCAAGTCCAGAATCTCAGTTGCAGCAACCTCCATCCACACATCCAATGTTCGCAGGTGATCTGCATAAATGATGAGGATCGCAAGGAGGGAAGAAAGCCCTGATGCAAGCCAGAACACCCAAAATGATTTCCCCTCAGGACCATATGAACTCTCGATCGACAATATCCCTGATACAACTGTCAGGGGTAGCAACAGACCTCCAAGATATGCTATTCGATCTAGACTTCTGGAGTTTGAATCTTTCGGGTCGTTTTGAGCTTCGTGGGCATGTGCTTGGAGAGCAACTGTAATTGAGAGCTGCATACGTCTATGCAGACGTTCTGCAAGATTCGACCAGTCTGCAGATGTAATGGCACTGAAATCTCCTCGCCGCTCCATGCTTTTTGTGATATCTGCATTGGTTTCAAGGGCTCGTGCAATAGTCCACTGAACATCCACAGAGTCAGACCCAAGAGGAGGTAATGAGTCAAGTTTCTGGAGCCACATATCGTAGATGAGCTCTGCGACTAGATCCTCTATTGGACGGATGTCGGCGAGGGCTTGCCACAGGGAATCTTCCAGGCCGGATCGCTTCGGGGGGCGTTTACCTGATGTTTTGCTGTCTGGGCGAGCATTACTTGGGATTCTAGAGGGGCGATAAGGTCGTGAGGATATTCTAAATGGAAGACCATCGAGGAGAAGGATAGGGAGTTGTTCCTTGACCATCAGAGATGCACGACATATTCTGATCCCCTCATCCTCATCAGACTCATCGTCATCTTGCTCTTTCGTCTCGCCATCCTCCTCTTCAGGCTTCCTCTTCCTTATCTCAGTCTCAGGAAACTCCCAAACCCATCCACCCCTTTTCTTATCCAACTCGATGCCTAGCAAAACACCCATATCGCACTCCCCTCTTACAATAGCCAACTTCCGCCAACCGGGCCTTTCCACCGCCACCATCTCTTCTTGGAATTCTTCAACATTGAGTAATTCTTTCTGTCGACAGTTTTGTGTGCTCCATTCGAGAAGATATGGCCGGGAAAGCTGTGGTCTTCCGGCGACGGGAATGACCCGATCCGATGAGCGCCGAGTCCGGTGCCGGGCTTCGGGAGCCGGGCGTGGTCGTGACATTGGGGTACTCATTCTCTGTTCTTCTGGGCGACTCAAACCGCTAGATTCGATTTACAAATGAGACTCAAGCTAGCCAAAACTGTTGTTAGAAGTGTTTCTGAGACCGTACCAAGTCGAATTTGTGGGAGATTCACTCTTTTGAGTCTTTCAGCACTATCTTCTACCCGACCTCATGAACACAACTGCCGTCATGGGAGAAGTTCTCAAGGCATTTTGTCCCCATAATTTCGCTGATAAGAACTCCTTTCATTTCAGGCTTTAGGGGTCCTCAAGGGTCTCAGTTAGGCAGATGTTCCCCTGCGCCTCCATCAGCAAGTGTCTAAGTGTGGTCATGTGCCTAGTCCTTGAGTCCAGATGACCCAGACCGTGAAAGAACCTCAACACACGACGTATTCACCTGGGAGAGAAATATTACATAAACACCTGTCAAGTCAGATAGATGAACCTTGTTTGTCTATGATTGACTCATGACACAAGCCGGCTTGTAGTTGGTATATTGGCGCGTTGCCTCAACTCATATCACTCAAGACACCCTAACAAAATCATCCCTGTGGTTCTATAAGCTAGCCTTCGTTCGTGCATGGCTCGTCATCTTTGTTGAATGGTAACTTTACATAACATGACTTCTTTCCCGCTCTCCCCAAAACGCCAGACCAGACGCCATTTTGACAGCGGCAAAATCATAGGATGCTAAGACTTCCTCTCTCTTGTCTCTTTGGTTTCTCTACCCTCCGCTTCTGTTTTCTGTCCCCTTTCGCTGTCCGCTTCTTTTGTCTCTTCTGCCTTTCGTAGTTTCTCTCCCCCTCTCCCTTACAAGCAATCGTCCAAAGGAGTGTCAAGTGCAAAGTATGTGTCAAATGATGCTGAATAAAAGAATAGACGCCCCAGTGCAAGAATCTCAGATCATAACCCCGTGCGTATACGTGCGGCAACATGTCCAATCCATGATCGAGGTCAACTATCAATAACAATATTTCGAACTCCTGAACCTCAAATGTTGCACCCAGAAACTCGAAACTCGAACTCAACGGTGATGATCGTCGTCGCCATCGTGATGCAGAGTGACACTGTTGAACTCGAGGAATGGGTCGGCAATCTCACCACCAGGAGTTGCCAGTCCACTGTCTAACGGGACTCCCTTTAAGTTCATCGCCCTCGACCCTGACAAGTCGACACTCTCACTTTCCTTGACGTTTCGGAAGTTGACTGTATCAACTCCTCGGCCCGCGTGAGGAACAATCGGTGGTTTTTGGTGTCGAATGAGTGCCCATTGTGTCGTTCTGAAGAATGGATGCGCCTTGATATCTGATGCGCCAGCTCGGGCGCCCAGTCGTCGATTCTCGTCCTTGATGAGTAGTTTCCTTATCAAAGACTTGCAGAGGCTGTGGCTTGGTTAGAATGGTAGGGTAGTGAGTTTTCACCCAGGACTTACTTGGAGATCTGTGGTGCACCAGTATGATCGGGGAATGGAATATCCTCTCTAAGGATATTTGCGAAAGTTGCATTTCGGTTCTTTCCCTTGAAGGGCGTTGTGCCGTAAAGCATTTCGTAAATAAGGATACCCAATGTCCACCAATCGACGGCACTTGTGTGACCGCTGCCCTTAATCACTTCTGGCGCAATGTACTCTTCTGTGCCAACAAAAGAGTTTGTGCGGAAGTTGGCGATACATGACCGAGTGTCGATAGTTGGGAGAGCGTCGGTGCGGGCTCCGTTCTTGCCGACGATCATGGTCGGCTTGCCACCAGGGTCTGACTGCTTGGACAAGTCGAAGTCTGAAAGCATGATATGGCCCGATTGGTGCAGGAGAATGTCTGTCACAAAGGGTCAGCGGTGGATTTGTAAGCATGGCTTCTCAACATACTCTCAGGCTTCAGGTCTCGATAAATGAAACCCATAAGATGCAAGTATTCCAGTGCTGCTGTCACCTCGGCGGCATAAAATCGAGCATCTTCTTCAGGAATGCATTTTCCAGGTCGTGTTTGCAGAGCGCGGAAGAACTCGCCACCACTACAGTACTCCATACACAGGTATAGGTAGTCTTCTGACTGGAAAGAGTGGTATAATGTGACAATGAACGGATGGTTACTTGTCGCAAGAATTTCCTGCTCTGCCAAAGCTCGCTTAATCTTGTTGCGCTTGATCATTTCCTTCTTGCTTAGTACTGCGGCTAGTTAGTCATTGTCGCGATAGTAAATGTGAGTGATGGACGTACTCTTCATAGCATAAAGCCTGCTGCTCTTCTTCTCCCTCACAAGATACACCTTTCCGACATCTCCCTTTCCAATAAGCTTGATCTTGTCAAAGCTGGATGGGCTAACTTCAACGTTTCGAACCTTGATAGAATTGGAACTATAGGTGCGGCGGAAAGCCATACCCAGATTAGGGGCAGGAAGAGCAGCAAGAACATCGTCAGAATTGGCGTGTTTGACCTTGTCCTCGGCCTCAAGAGCCTTTGCCGTTTCTATAAGACCCAATGCGCCTGAACTTGTGAGGAGAGGATCCTTGCCAAGCTCGGCAGTTGCGGGACGCTCATTGTTGGGATCGTTTTTGGAGAACAGGCCCTGGGCATTGGGTGCACTGGCGACTCTTCTAAGTCTCCGGGCGAGTTCCTCTTTGGTTTCGCTGGTAGTTTGATCGTTCGCAGGGGCACCGTCCGGGCCTTGGACCTTGAGACTCGGTGTATCGGGAGGGCTTGGGGGAACAGAGTCGGAATTGTGGTGACGCAATCCTGGTTGGCCTTGATGGGCGAAATAAGGGTTCGCATGTGCCGTAGGACTCATGGCTTCCTCCAGCTGGTTACCCTCACTAGCGACGGTATGCGCGCGCAGACGGCCGACGGTATTACTAAAGAACTTGGTATGGCGGGATTTTGAGGGATCGGGAGTGGTGGCGGCCGAGCCCTTCTCTTTCTCCTTCTCCTTCTCCTTATCGCTAGAAGCACTGCCGGTGCTACCTCCAGTGTTCATGCGGAAGAAATTGCGCAGGCGATGGCTCACCTGGCCGGGGCCGTTGGAGGTCTTTTGAGACGGCATAGCGACGGTAACGTTATCGGAAACGTTTGGATGGGTGGAGACGGAAACAGCTTTGGCGGTAGTTCGACTAGAGATTTGCTTCCATATTCGACAAAATAAATAATTGGGAGGCGAGAGGACGTTTGCGGGTTGATGTTGATCGAGTCGGGTAAAAGATCCACGAGGGGATTGTTGTTGCGCGTCGTTGAAGTCGCGGCCCTGTATCGGTCCGTAGCGAGATAGGTATAAGTGTCGGGACGGATGAGTAGACGAAGCTAAGGTACCCTGTTGAGAGAAAGAAGTCACAGGGGAGCTTGGAGCAACACCACTGTTGTAAAAGAAGAAAAGGGAGGAAGAAGACCCAAGAGCCTCAGGAGGAATGACGCTGCTGGCCTTGAGACCGAGACTGAGACTGGGACTGGGACTGGGTCAGGCAGGCTATAGATGGGTCTTGCTTAGAATTGACCTTGATCTGGGAATTGGATTGGAAACGGGCCCTGACCATGGATGGGAATGGATGGATTCGATGGGAATGGGGGCGGCGTCGGAGACTTCTGCCTGAGGCATGATTAATAATTACAATCCATGGATGCACCTCAGTCCAATGCAATGCAGGTCGGCATCGGCCCCTCTATCACCATTGCCCGCCCACTAACTCAGCTCTAAAAGTCTAGCGATCTTAGGCGTAGCCTCACCCATGGTCCAATGGATGGATGGGTGTGACTTTGTTTCCTCTTCTCTGTTAATAGAGTTACATAGAGTTACATATAAACTTAACCTGGATAGGGGAATACTGTATGCAGGCTGTCACTTTGCATGTTGCTGCATTCAACATAATTATACTACTGTACATTCGCATCTCACGCAAACTCGAGGTGAATTCCCTCGTCTCCCTGGTAGGCGGGGATCTGGAACGCCTCGCCTCTTCTAAACTCGCCCGCCTCGCACCTCTCTGTGGCTTGGATGGCCTAGCTTAGGTGCTCCCTAGGGTCTGGGTAACGTTAGTTTAAGGTGAGCTTAGGTTGGTTTGGTTTCTCATTATCTGACAAAGCCAACTGCGCCCTCCCTCGGCCGCTCGGTATCATTCCACTGCCCGCAAACTCCGGTGAGATAATGCCGTGAGATATAGACTAAAGCGTAATTGCGAATTTAGCCAAAGCATTCATCCTCCCGAAGTCCCCGGTAAAGGAGTGACGTTCTACAGTGGGTTGTTGGTAGGCCCGTCTTTCGGGCATCCTAGGGCGCGAGCCACTAGACCGGTACCTACGTTTCGTCTGTCTATGCGCTAGAATCATGAGGCGTCGATAGCGTCTTGCCAGATCGGAAAAGAGACCTTGTGGGTTCTCGATATTGGTTCCCGCGGCCTGGGGTTGCTTGCTTGGACTCTGCAGATTGTACCTTGCCTTTCTAGAAAATGATTGAGTCGGAAGCTCATGACATGAATGAGGCGATCAGCATTGCAGTACTTCCTATCCTGGTAATCCACGTTTGTGCAATAGTGATGTGGGGAGATGTCAGAACAGGGCCATTTTGTTTGTGGAACGATGCGTGACAACATCCGAGTTACGGACTAGAAAAGACCCCAACTTCGTCCTGGGAGTGGCTTCGGGATCTAATACTGAACCCGGCCCCTATGAAGAACCAACTCTAAACTCAACACTTGATGATTGATCAATTATATTGATCCGCAGAGCCTTTCAATGTCGCTGTAGCTTCCATAATCAGAAATGTTTATGCCTGAGTGGACTACCCTATAAATAGTGGCATGATGAAGCTTGAACCAACGTCAAGGGTTATCAACGCTGGTCAGGACTATCTTGGATGTTTATGTATTTCATCAGGAGACATGAGGTCCAATGTTCAGTGCTGGTATGCTTATCGAATTCAACTTGGTCGACTCGCTTAGTTACTGTAAAACCCCTCCCAAAGTCATAACGTCATATCCGATGGGACTTGCAACATTCAAAAAATGACATACGTATATAAGAGAAGCTCCTTGGCATATGAGAAGCCTTCTGAACTGGAATTGAATTGAACTCATTGCGCTAATTCATAAGATCTCACAGTTTGTACACGTAGATTTATTAGCCGTAATTGATCTTCAAAAAGATCACAAGTGAAAGTTTCCAAGTACGCGTATCGAAAGCCTCTAGTCACGGCGTGTAGGATAGCGGTACTGGTAATGCTCGCTAATGCCGTTTCGTAAGCTTAAGATGCTAAGCATTACGAGGAAATTATATACGTATTAATATTTGTTGTGCTGTGAGCAACGAGTAGCGTTTCGGGTGCTGAGTGTTGTTTGTGTAAGTGAGTCAACTCGGCTGGGCCTTTTGCTTTCATGGCTTATCTAGTTCCACACCAGCCATTTGGTACCTTATCTCAGCCAAATTGTCATTTGGAAGACTTAGAGAGTAACCAAATGACCTTCATCGTATCACCAGAGAAACCCGCCATTGAGGGACCGAAGTGTCTCCGCCGATATAGAGTTATGATGACTGCTCACGGAATGGAAAATGAATAGCCAATAGGCATTTTTTGTTCGGAACATTAAGCATAGAGAGAGTTAATCTCTGAAGCCATAACTCAGATCTGGTTTACAAGCAAGCTCAAGAGACGCATCGAAGTGTTTACGAACTCTGATTGTCAAGACAGGCAGCCTTGTGTTGACCTCGATGAGGTTGACATCTGGCAAGCTATTGAACAAATGCGACGTAACAACTTCGGTCTGTCCGTTTTACCACGATATTACAGATGAGTAACTAACTATTGCCTGCTGTGTCTCGTCTAGAACGTCGTCATAGTCTGAAGTATGGCATCGATCTCTTACATACGACCATACCTATCAGAGAACTCGGGATCCCGTCCGCTCTCCCATAGATAAGCTGATAAGGGGCGGATTAGTAGTTGGGTCGGTGACGACCAGCGAATCCCCGCTGTTGTATGTTTTTGGTACTATTCTTTTTGGTGTTTTGGTCAAGCGAAGGTCAAGGTAGCCAACCTCAATTGCCGAGCTTATTAGCTAAGCGAAGCATTGACCATTTACGCAACTCCACATACCTCAGCTTCAAGAAATGTTTTTAATAACTTACTCCGTACACAACAACACTACTCCGTACTTAGTTTTGTTTACCAAAGCTGATCGCAATGGACGAATACTCTCACCTGACATACCCGTCTTTGCGCCTAAATGACCACACTTTAGATCAGAATGTTCCCACTCTACAATCCGAATACTCGCGTCGTAGCTTTCCATTACCTATCTCAAGCCTCAGTGCTCTCGATTGCCTCCCTCCAGAATTACTCGAGCAAATTCTTCTCTATCTTGATATACGCGCTCTCATCAACTTCCAATATGTTAATAGGCGTTCCGCTGACCTCGTCAATCATCTTCCCACATACAAAGTCATTGTTACTCACGCAAGAAACGCGTTACGTGGTATCCTATGTATCCAAACTGGCAAATGGATCACTTGCTCACTGCTACTCGAAAAACTACACACATCAAGTTGCGAGAAATGTGGCGACTTTGGCGGCTATCTTTACCTTCTGACCTGCAAACGCGTTTGTTTCCTCTGCCTATCGCAGGAGAAGGAATACCTACCGCTGGGTTTAAGCCATGCGTGCCGGAAGTTTGGTCTGGAGAGAGCTGAGGTTCAGAAGCTACCTTGTCTTAGGGTTATACCTGGAACGTATTCGCCAAATGAGAAGAAAGCTAACGAGACCTTCTTGGTTGACTATGAGGCCGCACTGAACTGGGCCGTTGCCCATCATGGATCGTTAGATGCAATGCATACATATGTCACTAATCAGAACGCAAAGAGACAAGAAGATTATGAGAGAAGGTTGATGCAAGCACAGCAAGGGGAAGGCCCCCGCCACATCAGAAAACCCCCGACAGGAGACCCTTACGATGGACGTTCGGGAAATCCCTTTCGATTTGTGGCCATTGTTTCTGCTCCGTGGCTAGACAGATCATCGGATACGATAGAATGGGGCTTTCATTGTTTGGGCTGCGCAAGGTCCAGCCGCCTTCCCCTTCACAAGAGGCGGAAATTCATTAGATCGTCTTTTCATGATCATATTCGAGAGTGCGGCAATATTGAACATGGAATGCATTCTAAACCTTAAAGCTAGGAGGAGAAAGGGATACAAAACAGTTGCATAAGTTGTATGCCGTCCAAACGATTTATAATACTATACTATGAGCGACCGAACATACTGACTTCTCTCTGCATCCCGGCCAAATCGCTTTGAGCCTCATCAGCGTTTCATCTCATCCTTTCCCGGCTTAACCATATGTTTAGTGCACATGTGCGCCGAATCCGGAAGCCGCACCTGCTCGACCGGAGAGCATTTGACATTTGTGCCTTGCCTTGGATGACACTGACGATATTCCTCAAACTTCTTGCACCCACAAGTATACATGCGACACTCCTGCTCACACATCTTGACTTGAAAGGCGTTTACTGTCCCTAGCTCGTTATCAGGTCGTCCGAAGGTAATGAGAAAGCTCGAAACCGTTCATGTCCAAACTTGACGACACCTTACTGGGTATGTTTTAAGCGCGCGCGTGCTGAAACGCGCTACTTAGACGTGATGGATGGAGTTCGTAAAATAGAGGAAAAAGGGACAACTCCAAGGGCCATAAGTCAGCAGCTAACTACAGCGAGACTCCCCTTCTTTTACATGGCGTGTTCCACATCCACGGTCAACGTAAGGGTGATTTAGCGATACCATTTCGCAAATCAATGATGGAAGACCACATACCTGACTTGCAACTGCTTCAAGCAAGCATCGACCCAGACAGCGAGAGCGACTTCCGAATTCTTGTTGACAAAAGATTTGTCAAATATCTTACCATTGATGCAGGACTTTTTGAGCTTCATGAAATGGCCTTTGGCCCTACTCTATTCTCTTTACTTCCACGGTTTCCAACTGAGGAATGGAACAAAGGTCGCATCTCACGCGATCCTTTGAAAGGAACTGTTTATTTTTCCTCTATATCCAGAGTACAGCTCCCTGGAATCCTCACTGCCTGGCACACCACACATATCGACCACTTGGATCTCCAAATGGGGGGGGGGGGGGGGGTAAACTTCGTTCCAACGTCTACGAGGCCTCATGCTCTCGCTTCAGCTCACCAGTTGTCGCCAAGTTCGCTCGGTTTCCATGGGAAGTGCCTCAGTTGGAAGCAGAGACAACGGCTTATCAGTGGATAGAAGGCCAACGGATCGGGCCAAAGTTTCTTGGCCACCTGACGGAGGAAGGCCGGGTCATTGGAATAGTTATGGAACGCATTGCAGATTGTCGCCATGCTACGTCGGATGACCTCGCTTTGTGCCGCCAAGCTTTGTCGAAGCTACATGATCTGGGGATCAAACACGGGGATGTCAACAAGCACAACTTCCTTGTTCATGCTGGTAGAGCTACGCTTATTGATTTCGAAAACTCATCACGGACAACTAGCTTCAAGGAGTTAGAAGCAGAAATTTGCAGTCTGGAGGAGCAGTTGTTGGACATGTCTGGCAGAGGGGGCAGAGTGATTGAACAACCCAAGCTGAAAGAGAAAGAAAATCGCAATACAACGACTTAACTTGGGTTGAATCGAACCGGGAACTGCTTCTCAGCTGAATGGCCCACGGGTCAATTCGAGCCTGTTGCAACTGGTCTACAGGCAAGATTGGAGAAACAGCAATGTCTCATTCGTTGCACCTGGGCGCAAGGCGACTGTACGAATAGCAGTTAAGAGACGGAGCAAGGTCGTTAAGGATGATGAATTTTTGTAATTGTATTCCTCTCTCTCGAAGCTGGCCAAAGGACAGCCGAAATGTGCAGTATTCTTTCTGATGGGCCTTGTTCCGAAGAGGAGCTAATGAGATTATCAACTTGACAGGCAATTAAGTACCAGTACTGCCACTTTTTTTTTTTTTTTTTGGCTCAGTCGAGTACATGTTGGTGAAATTGGAAGCTGAAAACGGGTGCCACCATCAATGCAATAGATCAGGCGCGAGAAGCCATAAGCAATACGATAAACCATTGAACTAGAAAGCCAATGAGAATGCTGTTGTAACTTATTGAAGCACAAGTTCTTGCATTCGGGTTTGCCTCACTTCCCGAAGCATATCATACGTATAGATGGAATCGTCAAGAACATAGCGACTTCGTCAAGTCTGCTTCTTACGGAGCTCATCTTGTTTTAAGAAGCTCGGCTGGGATATACTTTCTCATAATGCGCTGTGATGATGTATTGGATAGGCACTAAAGTTTGGACTTGTTGTTACCTCAATGAGCAAGTGTCAACCAATGAGAAGTTGTACTTTTCCTCAGAACTCAACCAAAACACAAAATCTTTTATCTCATTTTATGTCTCTTTTATTTCGCCAATTAACAATTAATGCCGAGGTTGTGTCAGCGAAAAGCAAGGTTAGCTTTGAGGTAAGGTAAGTGAATATACTAAAAGTTCCTGGTAAATCAAAGGGTCAATACAGCCCAGATCGAGGCCTGTATGGCCTCCAAAAGCTTGTTCTCCGATTGGGTCTTTGATCCGAGACAGCCACTAAAACAGAAAAGCACAGCCCCAGGCCCATTTGCTAAAGTTTATCTTACGGTCTGGCCACTCGTGCCACAATTGTCTCTCATTCGTCTTCTTCACATCTTTCTCAAATCTTGAAAGCCCAATCTCTGACTCCGAACCACCTTCTTCGAATCTTTCGGTTGTAATTCCCATCAATCACCGGAACTATGTCTCGTGGCAACCAGCGTGAGGTTGACCGTGCAAGGGCCAAGGCGAGAGCTGCCAAGGTTCGTCTTCAGTCTGAAGTTTCTCGCATCAACATCAGACACACTGACACGACATCTTCTTTATTTAGAAAGGGGGAAGCAACAAGAGCGGTACCAAGGTAAAGCAGGAGAAAGAAAACGACGCCGAAGAAATGCGACGAAAACAGGCAGCTTGTATGTCCAACAGCTTAGACCCCTACGATCGACTCCCGAATACAACCACGAACCAACACAGCGTCGCTTTTGGAACAAAAGAATGCTGACAAATCTCACAGCTGATGCTCGCAAGGCTGCTGCAGGCACCGGAGGCAAGAAATAAAAGCTGCGATGAGATCTGTTTGAATACTGCCAGCTTTGGCCCGATGGCCATTGATGAATTACACTGAAAGCCGCGACAAGAGATGGAATCGAGGGCCAGAAGAGAACTTGGAGTATTCGGAACCAGATTGCCTCTTTACAGCAGCAGCGACAAAACGAAACGACATTTGGGAAGCCCAGGCGAAGCGGTGCAATAATATGGGTTGTCTTTGAAAGGATTGTATTAGCCTTCCGCTCCTTTTATCAATATATTTTGTTATGATGTTTGTCCGTGACGGTTAAACAAGCAGCGTCAATCTGCCTTACGTATCCTTGTTCTTCTTCATTCAAGATCATGGTTTGAACTGACACCCATGGATACGTAGTCAACGATGTATCACGAGCATTATCAACAACCTTTCCCATTTATCAAAGCTACGATCATTTATAAAGATAAAACAGGATCATTTTTTACAAAAGCGAGGCCGATCCCGCCGATACGCGCAATCTTCATAGTGTGCCAGAATATGAGTGCCGGATCGTCACATCTGAGAGCCGATTCTGACAGGTCATTCAAATCACATCAATGTTTGTGTTGGTTATGGGTTACTCTTATAATCCCCTGTATCCCCTGTTCAAACAGCAATTCTGATTTGTTACCGACAACCAATATTAAAACTGATCAATCAGGCATGCTCCAACTACATTCCCTGCAGCCCGGCGCTTATCAGCGTCTCCTGATGTGCTGGGCGCTTAGAGATGATACCCAAACCTTTATGAAACGGGACCAACCCCACGACTTTTTTCACCAATTATTCTTCTGCCTCATTTTAATATATAATTGTCTTTTCTCTTCGACCATGCTTTCTTCTGTGCGGCGCGTCTTTCGTTCTAAATCCAAACCAGATAAAACCCCAACTGTGAAGGAGAAGCCAGTTCCTCAGCCATCACCAGTGCCGATAGCTCAGACCCGAACAACTTTCTTCTACTCTGGAATACAGACATTTCATAGCACCGAAAGTGATAACATCGAGTGAGTTGGCAAGATTTTCCCGTTCAGTTGTTGTCTGACCAAAAGACCAGCATCGTCTTCGTCCATGGATTGAAAGGAGACTGTCAAAAAACGTGGACGGACAAGACTTCGGGGAGTCCTTGGCCGAAGACACTCCTTCCTTTGGAGATCGAGACTGCACGTGTTCTCACTTACTCTTATGATTCAACTGTTACCGGCAAGGACGATGGTCCTTCACAGAATCGAATCTCCAATCATGCATATAATCTCGTGACTGCTCTCGCATCACTTCGACAGAACGATAACACAGTAAATATCTCATACCTACACAATTCGTTCATACCTGACGGTTTAGAATGAACGACCTATCATATTTATCTGCCATAGTCTAGGAGGACTTGTTTGTCAGGATGTAAGTCACTCACTCACTTCTCGGGGAGCAAAACGTCGAACATTATATGGGTGTCAAATCAAACTCAGAAAAAGGTACCCTAAGCTTAGCAAAGGCATCCCAAGCCTCTTTATCATTTATCATCGAGATTCCAAGTTTTCTTTCCTCCCCTAGTCACTTCAAGGACTCATTGAGAAAATAGGCACTTGTCGCAGCGAAACAACGGTCTGAACAGCACCTTCAAGATATAGTCAACTTCACTCGTGGTGTTATCTTTCTCGGCACACCACATCATGGATCAAGCCTCGCCAAGATCGGAGAATTGGTCTCGCGCTCCGTTGGATTGATAAAAGAAACCAACAGCGATATTGTGCAAGTCCTCACAAGGGACTCGGAAGTCCTAGCCCGAATTCAGGATAGCTTTCAGGCTCTTCTTATGACACGAAGCAAAGATGAGGCCACCATGATAGAAATTACATGTTTTTACGAAGAGCTTCCGACTAAGAAGTTCGGAGTGATCGTGCCCAAACATTCAGCCATCCTGCCGGGCCACATCTCGATCGGGATACATAAGAATCATGCAGATATGACCAAATTCTCCAATTCAAAGGAGCCTGGATTTGTGGCCATCTGTGGAGAGCTAAAGCGCTGGATGAAGAGGATTCAGCAAACACAGTCTAAGCCAAAGAAGCAAACTCCTGCCACATACTGTAAGTTCCTACTCAACAAAGGCTGACTCGGAGAGCAGGAAAACATCGGACCTTGATACGGGGTGTCAAAATAAACTTGGCACAGCTATCCTAAACTCAGCAAAGGTTTCCCAAGTTAGCCTAAGCCCTTTTGTCATCTAGGATCGAGGCCCGGGGTTTCCTTTCCTCCCCCAGCGCTGGCCCTATAGGGAATCCTTAGCCTTTAAGCCGAGACCGCTCGCAGTACCCAAATCAATACTGACTTTTCCTTCTCAGGCCTCGTTCCATACACTTTCAACCCAGCTTTTGTCGGAAGATCTGAGATACTTGACCTGCTGAAAACTCAACTGGGAGATCTAGAACCCCAGTCACATGCTAGGGGCCATCGAAGGGCTGCACTCTATGGTCTTGGTGGAGTCGGGTATGTTCAGTAACATCCAATTTATCAGCAAAGTGCCATCCACTGACTCGAAATAGAAAGACACAAATCGCATTATCATATGCATACTGGACTCAGGAAGTTTCTCAGGATACTTCGGTATTTTGGGTCCATGCTAGTAGTGTTGAAAAATTCTCTGAGGGATACGCCAGCATTGCCAACGAGTGTAGAATCTTGGGATACGAAGACGCAACATTCAATGCTTTGTCCACAGTTAGAGACTGGCTGGAAAGCAAGGAAAGTGGAAAGTGGCTGTTGGTCATTGATAACGCTGATGATATGCAACTTTTCTTTCCTCAAAACGAACCATCAAAGTTGAAGGCCAATACTGAGACTAGTATGGGCCAGTTCATACCACAATGTCCTCACGGCAATGTCCTTATCACAACAAGGAACATGCAGGTGGGCTCACGACTCACAAAGGGCAAATTTCCCATAGAAGTTGGCAAGATGGATGAAAATGAGGCGACTCAGCTTCTTCGCCAAGGTTTGCGGGAAGGCGATGAATCTGAAAGGACCTTGGTTGAACTCTCATCACGCTTAGAGTTTCTTCCTCTTGCGTTGGTGCAAGCAGCTGCCTTTATCCAGGAGAACTCTATCACAGTTAGTGAATATATCGAGCTTTTAGATGGAAGTCAAGACGATCTTGTTGATCTTCTGAACGAAGAGTTTGAGACTGTCGGGAGAGACTCGGATACCCCTCACGCAGTCGCCCAGACGTGGATGCTGTCCTTCCAACAGATAGAGAGACAGTACCTCTTCGCCAGTGAGCTGTTATCACTGATGTGTTTCTTCGATCGGCAAAAAATACCACTCGATTTCGTTGACTTTTACGCCAGAGAAACTCTACCCGCAGAGTCAAACACTAAATTGCAACTTGTCAAGGCACTTGGGGTTCTAAAGGCATTCTGCTTCATTCGGGCAGAGAAAGGTGGCGATCATACTATGCATCGTCTGGTCCAATTAGTTACGCGAACTTGGCTGGCTCGAAAAGGAAGAATTGCTGAGTTTACAAGACGCGCTTTCTCGGCAGTGTCAGACTTTTACCCCTATGCAGAATTCGACGATACCGAATGGTGGATGGAAGATATGGCAACTTGCACTGCATATCTTTCCCACGCAAAGTCTGTCCTTGAGGCTCAGATAATCGAAACAGAGGAAGACAGGCTTATCAGGGCCTCTGTGCTCCATAGGGTTGGATCATTCTTCAGCTTTCAAGGCCGATACCGCGAATCAGAAAGCCTGCAACGCGAAGGTCTCAGCATTCGAAGAGAATTACTCGGCGAAGAGCATTTTCAAACACGGGTCACAACCTCCGACCTTGCAGGCTCCCTAGCCGATTTGGGCCGATTCGAGGAATCTGACAAATTACTGAAGGGCCTTATCGAGACCTTGAGACGCCTTTATGGTGATGACCATGAGGAAACACTCGATGCCATGGGTAATTTGGCCGTACACTTGGCTCATCAGGGTAGAGAAGAAGAATCACATGCCCTGCACATTCAAGTTGTTGAGTCAAAGAAGCGAGTCCTTGGAGAAGAACATATTAGTACTATCGAAGCGATGGATAATTTGGCACTCGGTCTTGAAGATGAGGAGGGAGCAGAAATGCAAAGACGAGTAATAGAAGTAAAGATTAAGGTCTATGGTGAAGAGAACCCCTCGACCCTCCACAGCAAGGCGAACCTGGCTACGATACTCTCCCACATCGGTGGTACTAATATCTCAGAGGCAGAAGACTTGCAGCTAGAAGTCTACGAGACCAGAAAAAGGGTACTTGGCAAGGAGAATCCTGATACTCTTAGGATTATGAACGATCTAGGACGTTCTTGGGTGTTGATCGGCCAAAGCACCATTGATACCAGACACTTGTATCCTGATGTGGACATACTCGGCGACGCGAAGAGCTTACTGGAGGAATGTGTTGGACATCGGGAAAAGTTGTTTGGAGCAGATCATGCTGATACCATTGAGACCCGTCGGGTGTTGGATGAGTGTCTGGAAGCGATCGAGGCCGCGGAACTGTTTGAAGCGGAAGCAAAGGCAAAGGCAGAGGCAGAGGCAGAACCAGGGGGCTCGCTGAGGAACAATTTGTGATGAGCCTCGGGGAGCAAGAAAATATTAGAGACAGTGATATAGGGGTATCAAAACAACGTTGGCAAAAGGTATCATAAATTTATCCTAAGCTGATACTCAGCTTATACTAAGCTACCTAAAGTCTTTTTATCTTTTAGGATCGACGTCATGAGTTTTCTTTCCTTCCCTGATGGGGTCCTCAGTGTACACACCATTTTGGGTACATTAGATCAGCTGGAGCTCCAAGAATCATCAAGCTTATTGGACTGAGTATTTGGTCTGCCCAACTGCTTAAACCCAAGCAACTTCAATAGTTTGTGAGTATCTACTACATGAGAAGTCTCTGATATGATACCATGTCATAATAATGCCATAAAAACCCGGTCCCGAACAAAACGATCATCCCAGCCCCATCTTACAACAGCAATACCCGCTTAGCTCACCAAAGTCCCCAATTAGCAGCGGAACTTCACCATCCCGTCCTAACGAAATAGCCTCACGACCGGAATCATGGTGCCGAGTGTAATCAAGTCTAAGCCCTATGTACTGTAGCCCGATGACATTTCAGTTCCTGGCACTAAAGCTGGGGATTGATGTAGCCGTGGGGCGGAGTACATTGTGTGAGCAAGGTGGTATTTGGCGCTCAAGCCACACGGCAGATGAGCCGAGTCAAAACTTGTGAAACAGTTTTGTTGTTGCAACAATCTGAATTTTGTTTGTTTATGTTTTCCTGGCGTTTTATGCTTGATAGTTGCTTTACTGTTGAGAACTTACCTTTCTTGAGGAGAATTATTCTTTCAGCACTGTTAAATGTTATATCTTTTAACCATAACATTAATCAAGCGATTCAATACATCAATGATGCAACAAGCTCAAGGTAACATCGTCTCCGCGCTACCGCAATTCTCCGACCCTACTCCAAAGATAGCTCTGGCCGTGTTAGCCGTTCAACTAGCTAGCTCGTCCTCTCAACTGCAACATCTCGGCAAGGCCTAGATCCAGAGCTGAAGAGTAAGACCTAGCATAGCATCAAAGACACAGCGGGATTCAGCACACAAGCGCAATCCCATCACATTCATCCCGTGAGATTCATGTCGTCATGATAGCTTCAAGACCCCTCCTCAGAGGTAACCTTGCTGCGAACTCAATTTCTTGTCGCCGGGCCATCCTCCAGCCTCCTCCAAGTACCGTCTCTCTTCCATTACAGCTATATATCTCCTGAGCGCTTCCCCCCAACAGATTCTCCTTCTCCAGTTCATACCACGTTCACTGTCTTGTCACATCTTGCAGTATAAAGCATTACGCTCTCTGTTTGCCTACCCATCATAGCCAACACTCCCTTTCGTTCACATCACAACCACTGAAACCATGCGTTTCTCAACACTCTTTGCCTCTGTAGGCCTTGCAGGCTCTGCCTTTGCTGGCATTGTTCCCCGATCTTACAGGGTCCCCGCTGCGAATGGCTTCCCCAACCCTGATGCTTCACAGGAGAAGCAGATCGCTATCCAGGCTGGTGGAAAGCTACCTGGTGCTCCTCTTCCCACCACTCTCGGTGTTGGTTCTACCACAGCTTTCCAGCTCATTGCCTTCAACGAGCTCTTTGAGACTGCTTACTTTTGCTCTCTTCTCTACAATGTCACTAACGGCATTGAAGGATACAAGGTTGAGGGTGACAAGTTGCATGAGGCCAAGCATGTTCTCAAGACTGTCCTTGCTGTAAGTACTTGCCCATCTTCATAAGGATATCAGTCAACTGACAATTTGCAACAGCAAGAAGAGCAGCACGCCATCGGTGCCTTGGCCACTCTCAAGTCAGCTGGCAAATTTGCCCCTTCACCTTGCAAATACCAATTCCCCGTCGACAACCTCAAGGACGCCATACTTCTCGCTGAGACATTCACTGCAGTCGTTCTCGGTGCTCTCCAAGACGCCAACGTTGTCTTCGCTAGCGAGGGTCTTCCAGAGGTTGTCCGCCTGATCTCGTCCGTCATCGGCCAAGAGGGTGAGCAAAATGGTTTCTACCGTATCTACCTCGGCCAAGTTCCTTCTGAGTCACCATTCCTGACCACTGTCCCTGCTGCTTTTGCCTGGTCTGCTCTCCAGGGTTTTATTGTTCCTGGCTCTTGCACTGAGGACATCGAGAAGATCGACCTTCCCATCTTCCCTGCTCTCCAGGTCAACGGCGGTGCCATTGCTGTTCTTGAGGCTGAGGACCAGAGTCTAACTTTCAGCGCCACTCTTGAAGAGTCTCACAAGGGCGAGGATATCTATATCACCTACACCACTGGCCAGCAGCTTCCCTACAGTGTCAAGGCTGAGAACGTCAAGTGGAATGGCAAGAGTGTCAAGCTTGAGGCTGAGTTCCCTTACCATAAGCTGGTCGCTCAGGGCTTCACCCACGCTGCTCTGACTACTTCCAACAACATTGCCACTCCTGATGACGTTCCCAACTTCACTCTTGCTGCTCCCGGTCTCATCCAAGTCAAGAACCCTCTTGACGGAGGCAAGGCAAGCTACTCTGACTAAAAAAAGGCGGCATGATTGCAATGCCACTTGGCAGTTCTCGTACCTAATAGATCGATGGAATTGGTGCTTTGGTGTTACAATGTTTACAGAGTTCATGCATTTCTCTCGGCCCTAATGATAATTCAAAATCCAATAAATAGTTGGTTATGTTAAACTGCAAAAGTTCCAATTCGATGTGTTGTGAGATATCCCGTCCCTCCATCTCGGATCATCGGGATGTGAGGATGACGCTTCCAATTTCCATATGTGCCAATGATATTGAACCGAGACAACCGAGCTGGACGCCATCTTCAGCCCTAGAGAACGGGTTCTCGTAATTTCTGCCTCATTTTAGCGATTTCATTCACGGGAAATCGAGTTTCGGAAGCTCTGAGCTGCGGCCGATAGCTTTACCTCTAGCACTCAACTGCTCAGGAGCTCCAATCGAACGACAGCTTCTTTTCACGTGCAATCGTATAAGCACCATGATGGTCCCCATAATCACCTCATCAAGCGCGGGGATGAGACGTCTCTCCACATGTTTCACTGAGCAAATGCTCCTCTTCCAAGCCACTGATAGCAAGACATCAAGGTCACCCTCAGTTCACGAAACTTCAAGACCGTCGATACCTAATAGGTAACCTTGAATCACAAAATCGCTTTGCATTAGACCGAGCCGGACTCGTACTCAATTCTACTAACCAAACTCTCTGAGCACCTCAGACTGCTTGTCTCTCGACTCCCATTTCTTCATCTGACTCATCGGGGAGGTTGTCGTTCATACGAATGAGCAGGTCCTTCAGTTTTCGCCGGTTCTTTCTCCACGTCAACAAATCTTCTTCCTGCTGATCTCGTATCGAGGGCGTAACTTGGTTCCCGTGTTCATCCTTGAGATAGTCTGGTACGTCCTCTGCCGTGTTCGGTAAACTCCTCCGGCCAAGATTATTATTAAAACCATCACCGCAGTGCCACGATAGGGGCACTAGATGCGCCTCCTCGATGTGTTCTTTGAACCCCTCGTCCGTATCAAACTCAGATGGTTTCTCCAGCCTCCCACACTCTCCCCATAAACAGCTGATATCATCACCATGAACGATGTAAACGTGCCGCCGGAGAGTTTCGAGGTTATGTAGTTCAGCCTTGCAGTCTCTCCACTCACACAGAAACGGGAAGATTGGGGCGTCCACTTGATAGTAGATGGTCTCTGGAGGAGGAGAAGGTTGCTTTGGCGGCCGGCCTCTTCGTTTTGGAAACCCATTGGGATGAGGCCGCGGCTTAGTAGCAGCTTGTCGGGCCTGTCGAGGAGCTCCAGCTGCTGTTTGTAGACCCTTTGACTTATTAGTTGACCCTTTAGGTCTTCCTCTTCCTCGCGCTGGTGTTGTAGACGTTGTATCGCTGGAAACTCCCGTCTGTGTACCACCCGGACTCGACGTTTTCAGAGCGTTGACTGCTTTGAACAACGACTTTGGTCTTCCCCGTGGGGTAAGATCCGACGTGACCGGCGCATCAAAGGCTTCATCCTCATCGATGCTGACTTCTTTGTAAGCTTCGAAATGTGCTGGTGACCTCGGGAGAACGACAGCGAGACTTGATCTACCACTTGGTGTCAAGGAGCCTGGATGTTGTTTAACCGGGCTTTGGCTGTGACTTCTTGTTGGTGCATCTCTGACTAGAGGATCCTCTGACTCTAGACTATCAGAGACGGAATCAAAGCGATTGATATGTGGTGGTAAGTGGATGTGCTGGGTCTTTTTGCTTTGGTTCCCAGGGTTTATACTGCTGAAGCTCATACTGTACAGCTTAACACGCTTCGACGCGGCGTGGCGCGATAAGTTTAGCGTGCAGAATGCGGGTTGTGCAATTCATTTAAGAGGGAAAAGAGTTTATGAGATACGGCAATGAACGAAAGCCCTTAATGTGAAAAACATGCCACTATTGGAATTGGATAAAATTGTTATTGCTGTCAAGAGGTGCTGAAGGCAGGAGGCTAAGATCTGCCAGGAGATCACTGGCAGGAGGCCGATTTCATTTACTCACGTGCTCTAGCACTACGAAGAAGAGATGTCGACTATTTTCAACAACGAGAAATGTACTGAAGGGCTAGCAATTTTTCAATCAAATGTATATTTTAGCAGTATTGCTGCTCATTCTAATTTGGTAAGTTCTATCAGCGCTGAGATCTGGGGGCGTATCATGGTTTGTCTACGCGTTTGCTTTTGCACTTATCACGGAATGGATATTGTTGATTCTCAGGAGTTAAATTCATTTCAATAACTGGTATTCGTATTTATACAAGACAACCATAATCAGCAATACTCCAATCGTGCCATCATCAATCTCATCCGTTTACCAATCGCCTTTCCAACCATCATCGCCTCTTGAACACAAAGGAAATTTTGATGTATTAAACCTCAGTCTCGACATCAGGCTTTCGGCCATCCAGGGCTCCAAGCTTAGCCACCTTTCGAACTGCAAACTTGGCTTCGTCCTTGGCAAACTGCACGTTGCGCATGGGTCGCCATTGCATAAGACCTCGATGTTTGCGATGCATATCGCGGCTGTCGGATCGGTATGACTTAATCTTCTTGATGGGGTTCTTGCTGTTGGAGCTAGCCTGGGAACTGTTCGTAGCGCTCGTTGCGTTGGTGCCGGTTGTATCAACTGAAGGGCGCCCGTTCTCAGAGGGATCTGTGGGCTCAGTGTCGGCATCTTGAATACCAAGATCAGGATCGGAGTCATCCTCATCAAAGTCGTCGTATTCCTCGCTGGACTCGCTGTTGCTCTTCTTGCGCATCAACACAGAAGGATCTTCGCCAAAGGCACCGCTCCAATCGGTGCCGTCCTTGGCAAGCCACTTCTGCTTCTGCTTCTCGTCGGCTTGCGCGAGAACGTCACGGCCATGAGTCAGAGACTCTTCGTGAAGTTTCTGGATCACAGGAGGAACCTCGGTCTCAACATCCTGCTGACGCACACCCTCTGCGTAGCAAGCTTCCCAAGCCTCGATTGTTTCACGGTCGTCGTTTGTGCTGGCAAACTTGATATGATCGGAATCCGTTCCAGCAGAAAATCGAGCTCGGAACCGAACTCGACCAACCTGCTCCATCTCGATATCGGGAACAGACTTGTAATTTTCTTCGGTAATGTAGTTCTGAGAAAGTCGCACGCTGTGGTTGCACTTCCAAACAGGGATGTCAAAGTCAGTCTCTTCACCATCAACAAGCTCCAGGAGCCAGAGAACAGCATAGGCATCGGGGTTTCGCTTTCCACTTGGGTAGAATTCCATGAAGATGGGCGAGCTGTAGCGATGTCGAACCGGTAGGCGAACACGCTGGTTTCCATCGGCGCCACTGATGTTGAATGACATGCCGTCAGCCTCACGAGAGGATGAGCTTTTTCCAATACTGGCGGATGAGCCTCCAGTACGGAAGCGAATCTTGGCGTGGTTCGAAGGAGCATAGCCAGTGGTGGTGATGGAGTCGGACACGAATTCGAAGGTACCAATATCCCAACCCAATTGAGGAGGGGGAAGTCGAAGCTCAACGGAACGGAACAACAAAGAGATACGAATGCGGCCAAAGCCGATGCCTCCGTCGAGAGGGTACCACCTGGTAGACTCGCTGCTGGTTTGAAGGATATCAGTAAGCTTGAGAGGGACAACACCAATAAGAGGGTCATGTTGGCGGTTTCGGGAGTCACGGACTGCAACGGTAACAATAGCAGAACGCCAATCTCGAATGAACTTTTCGGTTCCAGCGTTGAAGATTGGTTGAGAGGAAACAACCTTTGTTCGGGTCTTGTAAACAAGGTCGTCGTTAAGAAGGATGGTGCAGTAAGAGCTGGGGAGAGACTTGGCCTGCTCTTCCTTGACTTCACCGGCTTCAGGACGAGCTGGCTCATACTCTCTACCCTTTCGCTTTCCATTGGAGCCCTTGATGTTTTCCAATTCTAGGCCAACAATCTGGTGGACGACGATGCTGAGAATACCAGAAGGCCACAATGGGTCAGGAGGGGTGTGAATGACGGCATCTTCCTCCTTGGTGTCGATCGCGCCCTTGTTCTCTTGAAGCTCAGGCTTGTCCGCGAGCGCCTTGGGGAGATTGAGGTCCCGACCATCGGTTCGAAGGGCCTTTCGGAATTGTGTCTTGCCAAAGAAGCCGACTTCCCAGTGGAGCTCTCCGGGCATTTCGCTGTCTGCCTTGACTCCTCGAAGCTTGGAAACCTGAGGGAACATCTTGCCGGGGTGCTGGATAAGTTTCTGAATGCTGAGCTCGACCTTGCCAACGACATCATCAGCAGAAGATCGATCACTGTCCCAAAGCTCAACCGAAAGCTGCTCGTCAGCCTTGAGAAGATCAGCAGTAACCAAAAGACCAGCGCTCTCCTCAAAAACGGGGTTAAGATCGTCCTGGATAACACGAGTACAGAATTGGGGCTTGGAGAACTTGCTCCAGCTGATGGTGATGTAAGGATCGGAACCACCACCCTTGCTTCCGCGCTGATCTTGCTTGCTGAGGCCGGTAGCCTTGTGGATGCGAACAAACATAACACCAAGAGCCAATGTCTCCTTCTTGATGTCATCACCCTGGAGCATCTTGCTAAGATCAAGAGACAGACTCTTGGGAGCCACATACATCGAAGCCGCAGCACCAATGGCCCAGTTGACAAAGTTGGAGATGAGAGGCAGGTTGAGAATATTTACACCCTTCTCGATCATTGGTGTACATCCAGCCTGAACCTTAGGGATACCCATAAGCGTGAAAGTGAGAGTTTTAAGGAAAGGAGGGTCGGGAGTCAGTTGAAGTCGGATTCGAGCGGTCGCAACAAGGCCTTGAAGTTCGACCCAGATGGGCAAAGGAACACCGAAGAGACCCTTGATACCCAGGTAGAAAACAAGCTGCATACCCATGTTGCGCGCTTTGGATGCGATATCCGCACCAGAGGGCTTCGCATGATAGGCGATTGCAACCTCTAGGTTGTAGAACGAGCCAGCTTGCTCATTGGCGGCGAGTTCTTCAGGGTCGGTAGTCTTCTCGTTCTGTCGGTGCTGCTCGTCCTTGATATCTTGGACATGAGAGTCGGGAAGAGCACGCATATTGAGGATGCGAATGGGGTTGTTACCCTGGGAGATATCTGCGACGCGAACGTTCTCGATGACACCAGGAACCGAAGCCGCCATAACATCTTCGAGACTGCTGCAGTTAGCACCAGGTCATGCCACTCAAAACATTTACTTACGTATCGGCAACGCCAGCGAACATCTCAGGGTTGATCAGCCCCCACATGATTCCGAGCATGGTGTTCATCCATTCAACGGACTCAGGGATCAAGTTGGCGGTGGCAGTCTCGCCACGCTCTTGCTCGCTCGACCATTCGAGATCTCTGCCCTGACGAATCAAATCTTTTGTCCAAAGGAAAACACCAGAAGCTACACAGAAACCCAGGGGAATGAGACCGAGAAGGCGACCGCCGAACATCTTTCCAATAAAGACGATGGCGGCAAAGATACCGATACACAAAACGTTGCTGCGCTGCTCGAGAATCTCGAACATAGGTTCGTAGCTGACAGAAGGAGTCTTGTAGAACACGACTGATGTCTTCTCACTTCGAATGGGGACATCTGATGTTGCACCTTCTTGGACGGGGTCAGGAGGAGCTGTGACATCTTGGGCGTAACGATACTCTTCGCCAGACTGTTTCGACGAGGTGGCGATGGTGGCAGGCTTTCCTAAGTTCTCGTTGGGAATTGATAGCTGAAACCGTCAGTCCTTGCTTTTCCTTAGTGGCATATTGGAGCCTACCTGGGGGTTCTCAACAGCTTCCTTGTAATCAATGTCGGCATCTCGAATGCCAACATCCTTTCCCGTCACAGGATCACGCACCGTGCGGATGTCTTTTTGTTTCCGAAGAGCTTCAGCTCTATCATTTTTGTGATCCTTTGTCTCTCCGTGGATCTTGTTCTGCTTCAGTTGCTCGTCAATCTCAGCATCACGGGCCTTCTTGTTCTGATCCAACTGGTCCATGAACTGGCGAACATTAGGCACACGGTTCTGGGCGCTGTAATGCTGCCCAGCCGCAGGGATCTGCTGCTGCTCAAACTGCGACATGATGGCGAACCTCAAGGCAGATAGAGAATTAAGCTGGTGGTTGAGCTCCTCAACTCGGGTATAATGATGAAGAGAGAAAAGAGAAAATAGGAGGAGAAGACGAGAAGAGGGAGAGAAGTGAAATATTGATATGACACCAGAACTGAAATTAGCGTCACACAAATAACACTACTTGGCCCATTGCGATTGATTCATCGCTTTGGGATGGTTGCTTGAAACGCAATCAACCAAGGAAAGCAATCAAGTGCAAGGCATGATTAAGGTCGATGACGTCGATTATCCGCAAGTACGTAGCTCCAATACAGGCAGCTTTTGGCCCCGGGACGATCAGTTTTAGCGGCCAAAAGAGCCGCGTCAAGGCCAGTCCCAGGGGAGAGCTCCCCGCACTCGTGGCTGGGTGCTTAATTCCGGAGCGCCACTAACCGTGAATGACGTTGATGGCCTTATCAGCAGCATCTCATAAAAGACGATGATCTCTACTTTGTTCAGTGACAATTCAAAGATAATTATAGGCGCAATATCACAATATCACAGTAACTCATCAGATCATCTTGTTTCATGCGTGCCAAGACTGCTGATCGCTGATCAAGATACAAGAGTTCAGCCAGACAGGGAATTCCCAAGCACCAACATCCATGGCATGATCATCCCCAACCCCCACCACCAAAGCTTGCGTAAATGGCTTGGCCAAGCTTGGGTCCCAAACAAGACTTCAGCTGATCTCGATCTTTCAATTGGTGCAAGCTCTCTTTCTTCCTCTGAAACCGTTTCCCACCACCAACGCCAATCCGACTGACAGCTTCTGTAATTAAGAACTAGAAGCAGGGGCTTCATCTGCTTTTGCACCAATCTCTTGACCAGACAAGTCAACTCCTGGTTCAACGGTATGTAAGCCATCGAGCTTCATGTATTGAAGTGAGTCGAGATCGATGTTGTTAAATTGTCGCACCTGTAAAATGTCAATAAAGACCGTTCTGCGATAGTGCTTCATATCACCCACACTGATACCATAGCGAGGAGCTTCAGGCCATACCCTCGCAAAGTCGATACCGATGCTGGCACCGCATTTGGGGCAGAACATGTGATCGCGAGCCTTTGTGTTGAATTGATATCGTGAGACACGCTTATCTGAGTCGTTGTGCCAGGTCACTTTCTCATATGCGGGATCTAGTGAGTGATTCGGGTCAGCATTGTCCGATCACAAATCTTGAGCAATTCATACAAACAAGAAGGTAACCTCCTCGACGGCAAATAGAACAATTGCAGTTTATGACCTCATGCTTGGGCAGAGGAGGAGAGAGTGCTACTGAGAGGCCGATATAACCGCAGTGACAACCGGCCTCGTAGGTGACCTCAGGTCCGCCAGCATTGGCGAGTTTCTCGAGATATGCAGCAAACATTGGGCGTTGTAGTCGTTTCTATCGTGCGTAAAGTTTGAATAATACTAAAGAAGGGGTCGTAGGGAAACTCTTGGTATTTAAGAACGAATTGGCCATAAGCAATTGACAATTCGGATGAAATTTGCGTTTCAGCCCTTCCTTCGAATGGGTATAATTGGACCTCTAGTTGCCTATTCTGGACTCCGACAATCCTGGAGTTCCACCGACTGGGAAGAACGATCCTACCGTCAGCATCGGAATTCCGTGTCTATTATATCAATGCTGACCGCTCTGCAAATCTGTATATACGAATAAGACTTTGATTGGCTAATTTGTCAGCAAGATTGGAATTGAAGCTTGAAACTATTGCAACTCTAGAGTAATATGCGCACCCCAGATAGAGATTATCGATGCTACCATAAAACTCTTTCTTCACTTATAGTTTTAAGGCATCATTATGGAGGGCACATCTTGGGGTACCTAATCTGTGTTACTGTAACAATGGCTTTTTCATTCTTTGATTGCCGTTGCTAGCTATTTTCCTTCGTGAACTTTGGCCCCTCCTCGATAATACCGATCAATAACTTAGGAAGATTCTTCACAGACTGCTCCTCTTTCTTCAATATTTCCCCGCTCACCTCTAGATAGTGGTCCTTGAAAGCACACCAAAGCTCCTGATCAGAAGTGTCCGTAAACCCAGGTCGAGGATAATATGGATCGTTTCGACAAAAACACTCAGCAGCGGTTGCAGCACCATTTTCATCCATTGTGACAGGATTGCAGCAATCAAAGTCTATAATCCACATCGAATGCGTCCCAAAGATAGTTATGTCGAATGGGCTGTTTGGGTGTGAGTGTGAAGTCGAGCGCGAACGAGCAAGAACGAATTCGACGTCGTTGGCATCAATGCGTGCAACCCAATGAAGAAATGCGAGGCCTTCAGCCATGACCTTCGCGTAGCTTTGCACATCGAGACCAAGCTCTATCATTCGGTCTAGATGAAGTGGGAGGTTCCTTAGACTGAAGAAAGTGCTGCGGTTCGTATCTCCCCAATCCTTCTTAGGGCGACCAAGGTATGGGCGGATGAGGCAGTGCTCGTTCTTTTTGTCGTTGATTATAGCATCCTGGCCACTTCCTCCTCTTGAAAACTCGGAGACCAACAGCTTTCTAACGTCTTCCGAGAGTGGCTGAACCTTTTCGCTGAGCAATGCGTTACGAGGTTTTGAACCTGGTGGAAGTCGGGGGAGGACCAGAGACCAGCCCTCATCATCCTTCTTCAGAAATCCACGGCAGAGAGGTATTCGGAAGTTTCTTGCATGTTGTGGATTTAGTTGAAGAGATTGAACAACAAGCTGATGTACGAAGTGTTCGTTTGTAATGGATCTGTGCGGGTCTCCGTCTTCTCTTTTGATGCAGGAGGGAGTGCCGTTGTCTTTTGACGAGTCTGCGTCAGCCCAGACACTTCCACAGCAGCCTGTGCCAATACGTAAGAGCTTTTCTGGAGATGATTGAGTAGTGAGATCGTGGCTAACTCCTGTTGCCATGTCCGAGACGGTGTTGATTATATCCTGGAAAAGAGATAATGATGTTATGTGATCGTGGAGGTTGCAAGTTGAAGACGAATGAAGGTGGCGGGAAGTACGAGTCTACGCTTGCGTCAGTCATAGAGTTTAGCTTCACCACAAACACCACACACTCATCTCAACCGATGCTACTCACTTGAACATACTCTCATCCAAGTTAGACAAGTTTCGATATATCTATTTAGAAGAGCATGATACTCGTTCCACTGTTGAAAGTAGATATCAACTAATCTTATCAGGGCTTCATACCTTCGATGTAACGCTAACTGATGCCTCGTTAAGGAGAGCATTCTGACCCTCCATAAGGAGCAAGAACACATGAGACTTTAGAAGAGGATATTAAGATAAAACTTAGTAAAGACTCCCCTGAATTGAGAATAAATGGCCCAAGTTTTCTTTCCCCCTTGCCCTTAAAATAATGATGAAATCTTCATAGTTCTAGTATGCCGTGCATAAGATGTGCCAATAGATACGCGATGAAGTGATACGCCTGGATATTCCTAGCTTTCATGGTGAACGGTGTGTTGAGTATAAATTAAGTAAAGAGAAGATAAATAACAATAAGCCCCCTATATAATTCTCTGTTGAGTATCGGGGAAGCTTCTAGTTTCCAAAAACTGTCAAAGCATGCTCCGCCATCCACTCTATACCTCCAGCTCTCCAATTATCCACTTCAATATGCGTTCCATTGATGTTGAAGACCACACCCTTACCATTGGGACCATGAGACGGTTCATAGATAGGCCACTTGTTGCCATTGAATAGTTCCGGCCCTGAATCTCCATTAGGGTCTAGCCCGTTGATGAAGTTGATCCAAGCAGTGGTGATCGTCTTGGACATGGCTTTAGCATCCGCTGGGTATGTTCCATTACCCCCAAATGGATTAGTATCGTATCCATCACCATTGATGTTATGGAACACAAAAGCGACCTGAAAAGGTTAGCTATCTTTACTGATATAGATCTCATGGTCTTACTTCTTGAAAATGTCCCACTCCACCCTGCGGCCGGTGTCCGTTTGGCATGATATTAAAGCGATATGCGTAACTGGGTACGCCATGCTTTGCCCAAGCCTCGTTGGCACGACGCCGTTGGTAGTGCATAATAAAATCCCCGGATATTGCGTTAACTCTACGATATTGAAGTCCGAGATCCTCAGCGTAACCATCGCCTGGCTGAATAATGTGTGGCCAGATCTCCAAGGATGGGATGCCGATGCTTTGGTCGTTGGGATAGAGCTCCAGTAGCTCATCGACCAGTGCATCTCGGATCTTTCTAGTAGTCTCCTCCACTTCGTTTGGAATCATCATGGCTTTGATCCCCACTCTTAAATCTTCATCGTTGTCAACACCCCTAAAACCAAAAGATGTTCCTTCATCTGTATTAGCTCCTATCAGAATTGGGATCTTGAGGAACTGTCCACTGGACAATTGTTTCGTGGTATAATCCGCAAAGAAGTCACCATCCAAGACAGGAGCCCACCTCTGAGCAGTGCCGGATCGCAATGCTATGTCAACCTCCTCTATGGGCGCTCTACGTAGGCAGTCTAGAGTCGATTCTGATCCGGTCAGTTTCTCACACGATGGGACCGAGCTGACCAAATTGTCATAAGTATTCTGTGTAGCTTCTGTGGCATTGAAGCCACCAGGATATCGGCCAAGGGGTGCACCGAAGCCAGACTGCCCCATGGCTCCCCTGAAAAGGCCATCGTTGCGTCCTTGTATAGGTGGTCAGACAGATCATCTCGGGTTGAAAGGCTTGTGGACTTACCATTGTAGGCAAATACTTGGGCAGCGACACTTTCCGCCCCGGAGCTCTCCCCAAAGATGGTCACTTTTTTGGGATCGCCTCCAAATGATGCAATGTTCTCGTTGATCCAGCTTAGTGCCAGTCTTTGATCACGAAATCCGAGATTTGTGACTCCTTCTTTCATGGCTTCTTTACCCACGAGGAACCCGAATGCTGAGAGGCGATAATTGAGACCAACACCGATGACTGGTTTCCCCAGGGCAACACTCTGCTCAACAATGAAGGAAAGGTTGTATCGCGGGTCCGCAGCACCACCCATTTCTAGACCTCCTCCATGAAACCAAGCAGCGACTGGAAGGCCATCATTGTCAAGGCCTGCTGGTCGTACAATATTTAGATAAAGACAATCTTCAGACTGGCCGAAGCCATCTTGATCATATCCGTAGCCATGGCAATGGACCGGATGTTTATGTGCTGTTCGGATACCATCCCATGTTGTATTGAGTCCTTGAGCTATGGAGAAACGTACTGGTGGCTGCATAGGAATCAGCCGGCCGTGGTAACGAGGGTAGTTTCGAGAGATACCTGAGCAAATGGAACACCAAGGAAGTAGTCTTGGTCATATCGAGGATTGTATACTCCAGCGTATGTGCCGTTTTTAACCGTAGCGAGAGGAACAGACGTTGTCTGTGGTGGATGTAACAGGGCCCAGGCAGCGTCGATAAGAAACATATTACCGACGAAGCGCATCATGGCAACTGACTAGATACTAATATGACAGGAGATTATATTATTTAAAGGGAGATCAACGTTCGTATAGTCCAGGTCTCTATTGACGCATACAGAAATATCCGATGATGGGAGCCAGGTGGTGTAAGTCGAGTTGCTAATACATCGTCTGGTGGGAAGCTGAGAGCAACTCGTGCTTTATAGTGTCATAGGCTGCAGGTGATGGCGGACCGTTAAGTAATGCCGGAGGATTTAGCCATAGGGCCGTCTGCCCGGAGACGAATTGGAGCAAAGCCAAGATACTGTGCCAATGCCCAGCATATCGTCAGAATTTCAATTTTGCTTAATTGACAGCATCTTTCTTTGATTCTGCAACGATTTATTCATTATTGCAAGAAATCACCCTTCGATTCCTTGAGAAGCATCTGATACTCGGGCTCAAACTGCATATACATCGCCTCAGGACTTCCTGTGTTGTCTTTTGTATACTGCGCCTCCTCATCACTCACGATAGACTTCTTGAGCTGAGATCCGTTAGGAGCCACAGCAGCTTCTACAAGCAATTGTGCTTGACATGCTCGCTCCAAGGCGATGAAGAACGCAGCCGCTTCACCAATGGTGCTCCCCGAAGTGAGAAGGCCGTGATTCTGCAAAATAATGTTCTTCTTGGTGGCTCCAAGAGCATCAGCAAGCCTATTGCCTTCTTCCTTGGCGAAAACGACTCCCCCGAAATTGGCATAGACTGCAAGATCTTTGTAGAACATACAGCTGTCTTGATTGATCATCTCGATAGGCTTGCCGAAGGTTGACCAGGCCCGGCCGTATGGACTGTGAAGATGACAAGCAGCGTTGATGTCTGGACGGCGCTTGTGAATGGCTGCGTGAATGATGAACCCAGCTGTGTTAACAGGCTTCTCTGCACCTCCGATACGATTGCCATTCTCATCAATGTGAACCATATCAGAGACGGTCAATAATCCGAAGTGAACCCCGTATGGATTGATCCAGAAGGTTTCTGATTCAACAGGATCTATCCTTGTTAGTCTGACAGCAAAGCATCGACATGTTGCTGCAAACCTCTCAAACTAATATGGCCACTGCTTCCATCAGCATAGCCAAGTTTGGCAAACACACGAAATGCTGCAGCCATTTGTCCCAGTTGCCATTGTCTCGTAGCTTCTTTGGTGGGAAACTCTGGAATCTTGTGGATGCGTTTCACTTTGCCATCTTGGGCCTTTGCTGTGTTTAGGATGGATTGGCCTGTTGGGCTAGCTGTGGTGGCAGATGGCGACATTTTCACTGGTTAGAAATAATAATGAGTCGAACAGTCGAATATGTGACAAATGATAGAGCTAGATTGATCTTAATTATATCTGAACTGATGCGGGGTTGACCGCCAGTGATGCTTGATGGCGAATTGATATGCTTCATGATTGGTGGTTGATGGACTGACGAATTGGTTATCCGAAGCGTTGGGTTGATGTTGAGGAACAGACGAGATATCTCTTTGATCACAGCAACAACAAAAATTCTAAGAAAATACATCCCTCTTATCCGTTTCTTCTCATGCAATTCTGATATAAAACGACATGCAATATCTCACAAAATATACTTACACCACGCTTTAACAGATTAAGAACGAAGGGCACCCGCGGGATGCGAATATTTGTAAGCCGGCGGAAAATGATCGTCAACATGGTCAGATTATGCTTATCCGAGATCCACAAAGCCAAGTTTTAACAAGGCGGTCTTTCGGCCTTTCGGACTCTCAAGGTCCGCCTGTATTGATGAGCGGACTTTCGAGCTTCAAATTATCTAATATATTGCCAAGACACGGATGATCATGGCGCTCCTTCAGACTATGTTGCGCCGCAAGTCCGCCTCAATATTTGTAATCCGACATGGATCTCATACTTGACTTGAAGGTAAGTGAATTTGTATATAAAGTCTTGATCTCGGTTAAAGAGTTGAAGTCATCATCATAAGTCAAGCTTCAGATTCACAGACTCATTTTACAACTCCACCAACTCTCCGCCAGTATGTCTCGTCATATCACTGTCATTCCTGCCTCTACCAAGGCTGGTCGAGAGACCATCCGCGTTCTTCTAGAGTCTGAAAGTAAACCGACTATTCGTGCCGTCTATCGAGATACTTCCAAAGCCCCCCCTGAGTTTCTCAAGCATTCGAATTTCGAAGCTGTCAAGGGCGACATTGGAGACGGTGATAGCCTTGATTTTACAGGCTCAAACACAGTCTTCTACATCCCACCTCCTACCTACGATGGAACTGACACCGGTGATTGGGCAACTAGAGCTGGTACGAATGTGAAGAAAGCCCTTCAGAAGGCAAATATCCAGAAACTGTTGATTCTTTCTGCTATCGGAGCTCATAACTCAAGCGGCATTGTATGTCTTCTATTCATTTGAAAGTTTCAGCAGAAAACTAACAATAGTTCTTTTTAGGGAGTCCTTAGAGTAAACTACATATCTGACGAACTTCTCAAGGACTCTGTTCCAGAAGTCTCGATAGTCAGGCCTACCTACTTCCACGAAGATTGGGCTCATCTCCTCGATGCTGCAAAGGAGGAGAACCCAACTATTTACTCCTGGATCACTCCTATCGACTACCAAATTCCCATGGTATGTTAAGTTTTCGATGCCTGCAAGGAACATGAAGAAAATCATACTGACTTATATTTAAGGTCGGTCTCAAGGACGTAGCCGAAAACTGCGCCGACGCCCTCTTAGCCGAGACAGCCAAGCCCAGCCCTCACTATTTCAACGTTTTCGGTCCTAGAGCTTACGGTTCTCTTGACCTGAAGGAGGCAGTCGAAGAAATCACAGGCAAGAAATACGAGCTGAAGCTTGTTGAGAAGCCCCAGCTGCTCGACTACTGGAAGCAAATTGTTCCTGAATTTTATGCTGAAGAGTTCAAGGAGATGACGACCTGCGGCTTGGCGGACGGCATTATTGCAAAGAACTTTGTGTATGATGAGAATACCGTGAGGGGAAAGGTAGAATTGGTTGATGCTCTACGCAGCTTGTATAAGAAATAAGCGACACCTCTGAAAAAGAGAGACTACCTTAGTGTAAGATCATACTTCAAACAACTATCATTTCATTTCATAGCAAGCGTATGTTGGTTAATAGTGATTTACCACTAACCTTCTGTAGAGAGCAAAATTCAATTTTCTCTATAGGACGGATCCAGCCTTTATAAGTTAGCATGCTCATAAAATACCGCAGGATTTTAAGAATAAGTTTAAAAATAAGGCTAAAGTTAGCCTGTTTCGATGTAACTCTCGAAAACTTTGGGATATTATATTTGATATTCATAATTACTATATACGCTGAATTTCCAAATACTTTCCTGTTACTTCCTAGACACCTTTAAAGCACGCCCGCAACCACATGAACAAGCCCAATCATTACAGCCACGGCCAATAACCTCGACATGGACATCCCGTTTGTCACCCCGTTACTTCGCGGGTTCAGATCCTTTGCACACTGTTTGATACAGGCATATGCCTTGGTTCCAATCGGCCCATCCTCCTCATCCTTTGTAGTGTAATAGGTCTCTTGGCAAGTCCTAGCACATCCAAAAGCCCAACAAGAAACTTCCTCTGCGTCAATATGGCTCCTCCCGTCCAACTCCTTCTGACTCCAAGTTGCATTCGCTCCAACAAGGGTAGTCCTGCTGCTATAGGAAAAGCCCATACTTCTCGGGGAGCCTTTCTTCAGAAAAGCAGTTGAGAGCCGGATCCGTGATTGGTTGGGTGCTGCGTCTGCAGGAATCGTGATGTTGACTTGTGTCACGTCTATGTCTACTTCTTTTGCGAGCCAACACACAGGCCCTGTACCCCACCCTGGCGGCGTCAACGCGAGATAGACACGGTAAGCGTTTGCCCGCTTGCGGACTTCTGAGTCTGGCCCGATTCTTTGCTCGATTTTGACATCGTAGAGTTTGTCTGCTTCAAAGGGGTAAGGGAGGCTGATTGCAGGTGAAGCGTTAACAGCTGGAAGGGTCGCCAAAAGATTGAAGGCGATCAATCGCACAAGGAATGGTATTAACTCCATTGCAAAACTTAAGAGACAGTGAAAAGAAAAAGCTGGGTAGGGCCGAAAAGATAATTGTGAAGAAGGAAAATGAGTGAGATTCAAATTAGACCGCGCTTTGGCTGACAAAATCATCAAACAGGGGCTCCGTGTCCACCACGCCAAACCTGTCTGGGCAGTCTTGTCATCCTTCAAGACTAGAACCGATATGAGACGTCTTCATGAGAATATGATATGAAATACACTCAATCCTGCTACATTATATGGATATGGTCTGTGCATTGTATATAAAGTGAGAATCGAGATATCTCGATATGTTTGTCCTTACTCCGCATTTCGTTTGCTATTCACATGTCACCTCCTGACATAAATCAATGGCAAATATCACCTTAGGACGCAAAGAACTTATGGAATCAGTACTGGTTAACAGAAACCCCCAGAGTCGCATCAAGTCTAGGCGCCTATGAAGGATTCAATAGGCCAAGGGACAAATGAAGGCAAATGCAATCAGGACATTAAGCCGATTCGGCTGATGCCTGGCCTCACTCTATAAATCTTTGAGCGCGTTCTCTTGAAGATTAAGTTGGCACAACATCAACGCTTTCTGGGTCTAGTCCTCTCAGATTTCTTCATACATACCAAAAGCATCACTCTTGCTTAATCCTATCTAGTCAGCAGAAAGGCCAGTTGCCCTTCTTACAATCCTCTCTACCGGAATACCTGCATATTTCTGGAGCCAACTAAGCGAGAAACATGGCCAACTCGGCGGACCGAGTCTTCCATACTTTGGAGCTCGCTCAGCATATTGTCTTTGAGCTGGAACTCAAAGATTTCTTCAGAGCATTATTGATCACAAAAGGACTTTGGGAAAGCCGTGTACCAAACCACGTTTGGGAAGAACATCTTATGCGTCTTGGATACCCACTTCATACCATTCGACAAACCCGTCATTCCCTCAAGTCCTGTTATATGAGCATATCTCAAGGCGCCGATGCCATCAGTCACGGAGTCAGCCCCGGATCAAACCGCATGAGTTTGCAAGATGAGCTTGGCTGGAATTACGGATACAAATACCACTATGATAGCGATATGGCAGCACCACTCATCGTTCAAATCTCTCGACCAGTCAACACGGCGGAAAAGTGCAACATCTTTACGATAGATCTCGAAGGCTTACGTCTCTTATTCACTGACGTAGAGAATTTCCCCGAATACGCAGTGTTCAATGGCATTTTTCTCCTAGGAGAGGATTGCCGTGCTGACGACATAGATTCACCTCCCGTTATTCTATACAGTCTTGATGACTGGTCTCTAATAAACAAGTTTACAAACACTCATCTCAACAGCGATGGCGGTATAAACTGGTTGAGAAACTTCCAGATCTATGATAACTTTATCTTAATTACTTACGTCATGTTTGACCAGATATGGAATATAACCCAGACTTGGATGGATATTTGGGACGTCCAAGGAACGAAACGTGGCGAAATCATGGTCCCTGAACAAGGGTTTGCAGACGACCCATTCCGTTCTAATGACGGCAGTCACTATTTGACGATACTGAGCAACCCTTTGTTCGAAAACTTCCCACAAACTGTCCAAACATGGAACCTGGAACGGATGGAGTTGACATATGAATGCACCATCACCCAAGAAGACAGGGATAAAGATCATGGCTACCATGCAACAAATGGCATTGTGTATATTTGTAACAACTTGGCGGAGATTTCTGAATACTGGGCTGTCGATGGTAGAACTATTTCCAGGAAAGTTGCAGAGATGGAATTCAACTCGAATCATTCGAGAAAATTCTCAGATGGTAGCAGGATTGTATGGGATAAGTGGCTTACACTGTACACGAAGGAGGGAGATGTAGTGAAGCGCTTCAAGGCGAAGCAGGTAAAAGGGTACTACCGCCTTGAAGCTGGCATACTTTTTGACAGATTCATCTTTAGCATCTCTTGGCGTGAGAAGTCGAAACATGCTACCTTGATGGTTTATTCCAAGACGGGAGAGAAGTTGGCATGGAATCGTTTAGATGTGAGAGGGCGCTGCTTGAGATGGCTCATTGATATTGGGGGACACCTCGTTTTGATCTGGGACATGAGCACATGTATGGAGATTGTAGATTTCCGTGGGCTTTTGTAATGAAGAGGAAAATGCCAGAGATATTCAGGCGCTGAGATTTACGACTGGATAATCATAATATACACATCTTTCATGGTGTTTTCAAGAAACGATAGGATGGGTATTTTCTTATGTCCCGGAGAGACTGTGTAACACCCGTCAGCCAGTCCGTGCATCCATTAATAACTTTTCTGACACGGCAATGCCTGCAATAGTGGTTGAGAGCTGAGTATAGAAGCAGCGCAGCATTCGGATACAAAACAAATATTCGTACCCGAGTTTCACAAAAGACCGAGACTTTTAAGGCCCAACGGCATTTACTTGATGTGGTTGACCACTGACTTGCATAAACCGGGGTCGGACTTTTGCTTCAATCACCATCTCCGATAATTCAACCTCCAAAACCGTTGGATGTCAGCACTAACACTATGAAAGTACTGTGCGCAACTTATTAGGCGATAAGGAAAACGTCACCTATATTTACCAGTCTCCTTATCTAAAGGTCCCTCAGGGTGTCTGAGTGTCTGAGCGCCTGGGGCCGTCGCGGCATTCTGTTCCAGGTCTGAAATGAAATGCTCTCATAAAGGGAAATGCCTTTCGAGCTGAGGCGCTAAGAGCATAGCCCCGGCCCGTCACAATGTGGCACTGAGCCCTGTCATCATCGTAACTGTTGCCAAAAACGGCGTTTACAGGAGTTTACCGCTAAATTGCAACGTTGTTTCGGCTAGAAACTGCGTGATAGGCTGGCTGTCATCTTAGTCGCGGCTCAGGTCGTAGGCTGGATAGCAAACCCAGTTGATGAGGCGTCTCAGAGGCTGAACTTAGGGGCCGGTTTGACCGTCGGGGTGTAATCTAAACGCTGAATCTCCGGTTGAGGCCCTGAATTAGTAGGTATTGGGTTGATGTTAGATCAAGCCTTTATGATGAAGCGGCTTTCAAAGTTGGGTTATTTAAATGCCAAGACACCCATCACTTGAAGATATTCAATAAACAGACAGGAACTTGAACAACACATTCGCATACTATTAACTCCATCTATACACTCTCAACAATGGGTAACCGCAAGATTGCAATCATTGGTGCAGGCCCAGCTGGTAGTGCTCCTCATCCAACTCCTCAATAACACCCACTCACATACTCTAGGTTGTTTACTAGCAAGACTCCTACATCTCGCAGGCACAGAAGTCACAGTCTTCGAAGGGGAAGCCCATCCAAACTTCCGATCCCAAGGCGGTACCCTCGACCTCCATACAGCAACTGGACTTGCAGCCCTCAAAGAAGCCCAACTCTTCGACGAGTTCCTGAAGCATGCCCGTTACGACGGACAATACATGGCAATCGTTGATAAGGACCTCGAATACCACCTCGTTAGAAACGCAGACGGCAAATACAACAAAATCGAGGAACGCCCTGAGATCGACCGCTCGAAGCTCCGTGAAATACTGGCCCAGTCACTTCCCGAGGGCATGATCAGATGGGGCCACCATCTTAAGAAGGTCGAGGGCCGAACACTCTTCTTCAAAGATACAACAGTCGACGGCTTCGATCTCATTGTCGGTGCCGACGGTGCCTGGAGTAAAGTTCGAAAGGAAATTGACCCAAGCCTGGTCCCCAAGTTCGCAGGAATCGCTATGCACGAGCTTGAAGTCACAGACGCCGAGAATAATGCACCCGAGTTAACGAAATTGGTCAACCGTGGAAGTGTCTTTGCCAGCACAGATGGCAAACGAACAACGATCCAACAGATGGGCGATGGTAGTCTCAACATCTACTGCGGCTATGTCACCGACAACGAAGACTGGGCGAAGCCAGAGAATTGCGGCTTCGATCCTTACAACTTGAAGGAGACAACCCAGGCATTGCTCAACACCAAGTACAAGGACTGGGACCCTCGACTGAAGCAAGCACTAGAGTTGGCTGACGGACGATGCGCTCCTCGCTCTCTCTACATGCTTCCCATTGGCAGCAAGTGGGAGCACAAGCAAGGCCTAACTTTGATCGGCGACGCGGCACATCTCATGACACCCTACGCAGGCGAAGGCGTCAACCAAGCTCTCGACGATGCGATGCAACTTGCAAAAGCCATCAACGGAGCTGCCAACAAGGATGATGCAGCACTTGACAAGGCGATCAAGAGTTTCGAAAAGGACATGTTTGCTCGAATTCTTCCAGTTCAGGAACTTACCTGGGGATTGCTGCAAGATTGGATGTATACGCCTGGAGCTCCCAAAGCTGTCATGGCCAAGTCTATGAGCAGACACGTGAAGCATCGACTTCCATTGGTGCTCCAGCCTTTGGGATTGGCGGCTGTTCACGGATATTACTTTCTGAAGAACAAGAATCTCATTAGTTGAGCCAAGTTTTGAAGCGGTCGAATGTGGACGATATCAAGGGCGAATTAATTAGAATGTTGATCGAAGTGTTGGAAATGGATGCCGGAGCTGTCGGTACTTAATATTAGCGGATGTTAGACAGTTACTTTATTTACATGTATTTTCCTAGAGATGCCAGAAAAGAACAGACAGCTCCCAGCTTTGTGTCTTTTAGCTGTTGATAACAAAGGTTAACAATCAATAACCAACTGAATTTACTGCGATACTTTGAGTAGATTTGAGCAGTCTCTCCATCATTATTCTATACCTAGCTTAGGCCTAAATTGAGACTTGAAGTGTAGTAATTATTAGACTTTTGAGGACGTTGAGCTTTCCTTGAACCCCGGATATTTAATGTACCACCTTGACACCTAGGTCGTCTCGGCGAGAACCCCATGTGACCAGGGATGCTGATCAGCCATCATAAGGACCCCAGGTCCACGACTCTCACTTCTTTAGTTCCTCATGACCACCAACCACAGCCTCATGGAATCCTGTTAACGCTCCCCACGCAATTAACACGGCACCTCCCAGCGCAACAGAATGGATAGCTCCCAAGCGCCGCTGATTGCGGGCCACAGCGACGAAGAAGAGCTTGAATATGATGTTGCTCAAGGGTCTCCCGCCGAAGCCGGCAAGGCAGAGGGTGGAATGCCCAGCTTGTTTGTCCTGGTCTTGACGTTTGCTGCTGGTATCAGCGGCCTGCTTTTCGGGTGTAAGAATCTACCAAATGGTGTTTTGGCCTCAAAATCGTGCTGACAACCAACTAGACGACACAGGTGTTGTTTCCGCAACCCTCGTCTCAATAGGCACATCCCTCTCGAACCGCGAATTGACCTCGATGGATAAATCGATCATTACATCCTCCACCTCGCTCTTTGCACTCATCATCTCTCCTTTTTCGTCCGTTCTCGCCGACCGACTCGGACGTAAGCACGTTATCCTCTACGCCGACATCCTCTTTGTTGCTGGCGCACTTCTACAAGCATGGTCTTCGACGGTCCCCATCATGGTCGCTGGGCGGTGTATCATCGGTGCGGGAGTTGGTGCAGCCAGTTTCGTAGTGCCGCTCTACATAGCCGAGATAGCACCCGCTGCGCATCGTGGACGGTTGGTGACACTGAATATCATGTTCATCACGCTGGGTCAGGTAATCGCATACATCGTTGGTTGGGCCTTTTCGACCTACGGTCACGCGGAGACAGGATGGCGGTGGATGGTCGGTCTAGGTGCTCTACCTGCCATTGTCCAGGGGAGCATGATTGCTTTCATGCCTGAGACACCTCGATGGTTGGTCAAGGTCGGCAGATCTGGGACAGCAAAGGAAGTTATACGGCGAGTCAACGGCGATACATTGCAGCACAATGCGGATGTCATTATTAAAGAGATCGAGCTTGAAGTGCGGGACGAGTACGAGGCACAACGCTTGCGCGATCTCCGAGCATCTGGCCGTTGGAAGTGGCTTGGCGGATGGGAGCTTCTGATCAGTGAAGGGAGAAACCGAAGAGCTTTGGCTATTGCTTGTCTACTCCAAGGCTTACAGCAGCTTTGCGGTTTTGTAAGTGATGATGCAAACTATAAAAACTACGAGAAACTAACGATCTATAGAATTCACTCATGTACTTCTCCGCAACCATCTTCACAGTTATTGGATTCCAAAGCCCAACGCTTACCTCTATGGTAGTCGCTGTTACAAACTTCCTCGGCACAGTTGCTGCGCTCGGACTTGTTGATCGCATAGGCCGAAGGAGAGTTCTCTTGTACTCGATCCCATTCATGATCGCTGGCTTGCTGTTGTCTGCGTATGGCTTCTCGTTCTTGTCGCTGGCGGCAGGAGTCAACACCACACCCGATGAGCCGCCCGCCACATCAGGACACGAGATGGCTGCCCTCACTATCCTCGTGAGCATTATGGTTTATGTCGCTGCGTATGCGCTCGGTCTAGGTAACGTGCCATGGATGCAGAGTGAATTGTTCCCTCTAGCTGTTCGATCGCTCGGTAGTGGAGTTGCAACATCGACAAGCTGGGCAGCCAACTTTGTCATTGGGTTGACTTTCCTGCCACTAATGGATCTGCTGAGCCCATCTTGGACATTCGTGTTATATGCTTGTATCTGCGGTGTTGGTTACTTTTTGGTCTGGCGCATTTATCCTGAGACGGCGGGGTTGAGTCTCGAAGAAGCGACAGCTTTACTTGACGATGGTTGGGGCGTTCGATGATATATCCTGGAATAGAAGACAAATATTATGGCATTGGAATTTTCTGTTATTTTTTCTTAGTGTCAGCATTATACGAAAGCCTTATCTTGAGTCTTGGCCGTATGATCGAGAGGCTTCGGTGGGTAGCAAGCGGAATATCATGAACAAAACACTGCGGCTTATTTGCGGTAAACCACGGCTTGTTGTGAGTGACAAGGGAGATGAAGAGGAAAAAAAGATCATTAAAAAGCGAATAGCGACAGGGAATCGCTTACGCCGAAAATGTTACATCACCTTGCATTGTCCAAGCTTTTCCAGAAGCTCAAAGGTGGAACCACTACGGGAGACGACTCGGCCGGCTCCCTCCATTGGCTGTTGATTTTACGATATGCGCGAGGGAGCGAAGTGCATATGCAGTCTTGGTAAGATAACGGGATTTGAAAGCTGCTGAATAAAGCATGTGCATGATCGTCGTCTGTGAGGTGAGGTTAGACGCTGACACCGCAATTCTCGCTTGCATCTAACAATTTTCGGTGAAATACAGTTCATAAAACTCAGGGGCATCTAAAGAAACGAGCTGGTCAATGCTACAGGGAATCTGGAAATACAACCATTCAAAAGTATCGGATCTCTACAAGGTAACATAGGGGAACCAGTGGGGCAGGGGCATTTTGGAACCTTTGAAGCCCAACAATGGAGCTGATTATGAAGAACAAGACTCCATGGAATACACGATAATAGATTGGTATCCATCCACGGGATCTCGGCCCCGTTGGCTTGAGACACGGCCGAATCTTTTGCTTACCGAGATGATCCGCAGAGAAAAGAGTCATAACGCGGGTGTTCTGAATAATCAACATGCATCAGCTAGAGGATCAGAACGGATATAGTATGCTCTTATCGGATATACGACCCCTTGTTGCAGCTCGGGCCTTGTCCCGGCGCCGGTGCCGAGCGTGGATGCCGAAGACAAGTGGGCCTCTTCCGAGTGAAAGAGGATACCGAGCAGAAGATTTTTCTGCGTTGCCAGGGATTGAGGACCGTTAGTGCTTGTGTTGGGTCGATAGTTAGTAATGGATCTCGTTTTCGCTCTGGAAGAGATTGGCACTGGGACTGGGACTGTGACTGGGGACTTTGTTTACAGTGGAGTGGATCGGGCCTTGTCATTACTTATAGATGGCATCACCCCTTGAATCATGATCTCCCTGTTCTGCTCTGTCTCATTGTTCCCTCTAGATTAGATACAGGCTGTATCATACTCAAAAGTAATCGAGTCAATTCTCTCCCTCCTCCTCTGACTCGAACTTCTCAACGTCTTACCTGCATACGACCTCGGCTTGACCTTTTTCGTACAATCACCACATTAGCGTCGCGATCCATCCATTCTCGCCTTTTCCCGCCAGCCTATAGCGTCATAGCTGCAGCTTACAGCGACAAGACGTAGACGCTATACATATATCTACGCCCGCACATCTATCTAGACTCACTAATTCCAGTTTTCTCGACAATTGGCCTCTTGATCTGAACCCAAGACGAAACACACAGTCAAGATGGCGGGGAATATCGTCGATCAGGAGTTGCTAGACGCTGAACGCGCTGCTTCTCCTCAGCGATATCAACAGCGCGACAGTGCTGAAATAGAACGAGTCATCTCCGCATCAACCGTCTCCTCATCATCCTCCGAGAACTCGGCACGTCGACGAAGCCGTTCAATTGGCCAATACAACAGCATCAGCCGCATCTCGACCCAGAACGACTTGGAGCGTCATCCTACAGAGCTCAGCAGAATACAAACAGCCCGAAGTCAACATAATGCCACCGTCGGAGGCAGCCTTCGCTCTCGCACAGCGTCGCGAGCTTCAAGAAAGCCTCTCCCCAACTTTGGCGCTGGAAAGCCATATCCTCCTCCTCTACCGGAACAGGAGCAGTATGTTGTTGAATTCGATGGACCCAATGATCCTATGCACTCGCAGAATTGGCCGTTGAGGAAGAAGCTTATCACTGCTGCTGTTTTGGGCTTCACCACCATGACATCTGCCTTCACATCCTCCATTTTCTCTGCTGCGACCATGGTCGTTGCTCACGAGTACAACGTTGGCAACGAGGTTGGACTTTTGGGAACGACCTTTTACGTGCTTGGTTTTGCTTTCGGCCCCTCGCTTTGGGCTCCCCTGTCGGAGTTGCGCGGTCGTCGTCTTCCAATTCTCATCTCCATCTTCGGTTTCTCTGTCTTCTCCATTGGCTGCGCAACTGGCAAGGATATTCAGACTATTCTCCTGTGCCGATTCTTCAGTGGTTTCTTTGGCGCTTGTCCTCTTGCTGTCGTCGCCGCTGTCTTTTCCGATATGTTTGACAACCGTACTCGAGGAACCGCCATTACTCTCTTCTCCATGTCCGTCTTTACTGGTCCTCTTCTCGCTCCCTTCATCGGCGGTTTCATTGTTGAGTCCCATCTTGGATGGCGCTGGACTGAGTATCTTGCTTCTATCATGGGTTTCACTGCTCTCATCCTCGATATCATCTTCTTGGAGGAGACTTACCCGCCTGTCATTCTCATCGCCAAGGCGGCTGATCTGCGACGTCGCACTAAGAACTGGGGTATCCATGCCAAGCAAGAGGAAATCGAGGTTGACTTCAAGGAGCTCGTCCAGAAGAACTTTTCCCGACCTCTGCGTCTGCTCTTTACCGAGCCCATTATTCTTCTGCTCTCCATCTACATGAGCTTCATCTATGGACTCCTCTACCTTTTCCTTACTGCCTACCCTCTTGTCTTTGTTGGCGTCCACGGCTTCAGCTCTGGTCAATCCGGCCTTTGCTTCTTCGGTATGATTGTTGGTCAGCTTATCGCTGGTGCTACAGTCATTGCTCAACAACCCTGGTACATTCGCAAGCTTGCTGCCAACAATGGCATTCCTATTCCCGAATGGCGTCTGCCTAACATCATGGCTGGTGGTGTTGCCTTTGCCATCGGTATCTTCTGGTTTGGATGGTAAGTTACTCGCAAACCCAGCAATTGGCTGAATACTAACGCTTGCTAGGACTGGATACACCAAGGACATTCACTGGATCGTTCCCACTCTCAGTGGTCTCTTCACTGGCTTCGGTCTCATGTCCATCTTCCTCCAGGCTCTCAACTACCTCGTCGATGCATACCTGATGTTCGCCGCCTCCGCCATCGCCGGCAACACATTTCTTCGATCTCTCTGCGGTGCTGGTTTCCCTCTGTTTGCCCGTCAAATGTTCGACGGTATGGGCATTCAATATGCTGCCACCCTTCTTGGCTGTGTCGCCGCTGTGCTCGCACCAATCCCCTTCATCTTCTACCGTTATGGTGCCAAGATTCGCCAGAGAAGCAAGTATGCTCCCACCGCTCCTCCTGCCCCTGCCTCTGGCTCTTCTGCAGAGGAAGACGAGAAGGAGAATGATAACGATACCGCCCTGGCTGCTGTCATCGCTCGTCGTGACAGTGTGGCCAGTGGAGCCAACAAGGAGAGTGCTTAAGTCTCACCATTTTCACATATCTTTGCGTATTGAATAACTAGCAACGTCTGATGGAGTTTTCGGGTCACGCTTGGAAAAGGGCGTTTCATGACTTGGGCTCGTTGGATGATGATGGTGTAGCGGGTTTGCAAAAAATGTCGTTTTGGATAGATACCACTAGGAAATTGCTCAGATTATACCATGATATGAGATGGTCACGCCAACGTCTCTTCATGTAATACCCTAATTAATAAGAATATGTCATCTAAAAGACCAATGTCTACATGTGCTGTTGCAATCTAATGGACTGTTTACTTTGAAGATTGAGCTTGAATATAAATAAGGCGACTTGACTGATCAAACCTACGAGCACATCGGGCTAGTTCAGTATAACTAAATTGGGATGGCCTTTGCGATGGTTTAATACTTCGAGATGAACATGCTAAACTCTGTCGCCAGAATGCATAACACTACTGCAAAAGCAGTCTCAAGGGATGGTGCCATTTAGGTCAGGCTTGACAGTTCACACAGAAGTGCACATATAACCACAGAACGCATGCAGAATATATCAAACACTTATCAATTTGATTAAAGAGCTCAGCTCCATCCGAGTCATATCGACTGTCCTCAGTCCAACCAGCGTCTGGCTGTTCCGTGTCTATATAGAATATACCGAGTTAGATGTCATTTGGTTATATCGTTCCAAACAGAAGTGAATATACATAAGACAAACACAAGGGGAATTTCAACAGTATGTCCAAGCATGGGGTATCCGCAAGAATCCAAAAAATAGAAACATCAGGTCATAAAAATCGTTGCATTGCATCAACGCAACCACCACCGCTTTCATCCCAATCCAGGGCTGATAACGCACTCACCCACCCACATCAGTTGGTGACGAGCCCGACCGTTGTCTGATCCTCCATTACCCAAGGCAGGTCTCGGTTCCCAACGTTGATGCAGGTGAGGTAAGAGACACTATCCGGGGTGCGTGAGGTACCGCCCATATCGAGTTCGAGGTTGCTGCCCATGAGGGGCCGTACGATCTCTCGGGCCATCGACTTGAGCTCATCAAGACGCTTCTCGAATCGCCGGAGGTTCTCCCGGCTGTAGAGCTCCGGGGTGAGCTTGAGGAAGCGCTTGCAGTCATCGTGGCCGAGGAAAGATGCGGGATTATTCGAGCCGAGTTGGCGATATGCACGACCTACAGAATTCAACGGCGGGGCTGCGGGGGGTAAGGCGGCGACGCTGCGGCCGCCGTCACGAGAGGTCGTCCTGCGTCGCTGATCGGGAGGCGGCTGCGGAGAGGTGTTGTCGGCCAGCCATTGGCGGAAGAGGCTTATGGACAGCCAGTCGAGGTAGTTGTTGCTTGGACCGACACGTTCACCACGGCTGTTGGTGAGCCCAAGACGGTACAGGCGTCCCTCGATGCGACCGACCGTATCTTCCAGTTCATCAACCTTGTCCTCAATAATATCCAAGACAATGTCGGGCAGGGCTGCACGCAGGCTGCGTTCCCCGACCGGCCACTGCCCAACGACGTGAATCAGGGCTTCCTGAAATATCACCCTGCTGCGAGCTAGGTACCCGAGGCGCAGATATGAGATTGGGTATTTGGCGATTTGCTTCCAGAGCCGTGACTGGAACTGCAGCATGTGGTGATCAACCCGAGGTCCCACCACAGCAAGGGCGTCATATTGGTCGGCGAGGTTGAGCAAGCTCTTGCATTGGACATAGGCATCTGCGACATTGACACCATCGAGGTTGGGCGGGTAATTGTAAAAGATGCGAAAGAGGTTGTCGTAGTCGCGCAAAAGGTCCTCATCCGATTGCGAGAGCTCTTGGGCCGGAGGTGGGTGGTTGGAGGAGAGACTGAGATTGGCGACAGAGCGAAAGAAACCACTTGAGGCTGACGAGTTGGACAACGATCGCGAATGTGAGTGGGAGTGTTTGGAGCGACTCTGAGAGCGTGCGTCTCTTGCACTGACTGCAGGTGGAGCTGATGCAGGACCAAACAAGGATTGTGTAGTATCTCGCGACGATTCGTCTCGTTGGACCAGCATTGGAATATCGTTTGGTCCAGATTTGGGGTCTAGCTCGTATCGCCATCTCTTCCTGGGCGGATGGATGCTTCCTCTTTGCGACACTGAGCTGACTTCGCTTGCACTGACAGAATCCGGTTCCCCGTCCTCTCCGATGCGGGAGAGCTCATTGCCAGCCGGTAGTGCGCGGGCGCGGGACCACTGGCTTGATGTGCTGGTCTCGAAGAAACCACTCGAGCGCGTGAGAGTATGGCGGTGCAGAAGATATCTGTTCTGCACGGGAGTAGCATCAGGAGGCGTATCGCGCGCGCGGATTATGATTTCTACGTCGCCACTACTAAAGACTGGGAAGTCATTGTGAAGAGCGTGAGAAGTTCCACCGGTATGAGATCGGTTATAGCGTTTCGATCGCGAGTCTGATTGAGATCGACGGGAGACGACAGAGGAGGGACCGCGGCGGGAGACGGAGGAGGCGGTTGGAGGCTCCAGCGTGGACACCATGAGGGCTTTTTCGATTAAATGATTGCGAAGGTGATAATTAAGAGCTGCGCAGGGGGTATATGAGGCTCAGGAATGCGGCTGTGGCGGAGCGAAGGTAGATGAAGAGCTAACGATGAGGCTGGTATAGGTAGGTGATAAAAGATGCAAGTAAATTGTGAATCACATGGGGCGGGATGTTTTGGTTTGTTGCGGAGCGACGAGACAATTTGGCCGAGAAACAGTAAACGCGACAGAGAGAGGTAGAGGTTGAGATGAGAGTAAAAGTTGAGAGGAAGCAGTAAAAATAAACAAGACGAGACAGGGCAATACGTGACTGTGTGTGTAATGGATGTACGGAGCATGCAGATGTAGACCTTGGGTATGTATGTACAGTAGAGACAAGGATAACCTGTGATGGTGGCACGAGGACAACAAGAGGCCGCTACAACCAGAGGATTCAAGGTAATGGGCCATGATCCAAAACATGCATTTCACACTCCACTCAAACTGGCAAGGCTGTTTCTGCTCTTTTCTCGTTAGGGCCCTTTTATGCCTTGGAGGCGAATCATTTGAGACGGTGACAGGGGTTGATGAGGGTCTCTTCTCTTTAGTTATTACCCGCATGGCTTTAGTGAGAGTCTTTGTCGGGACACGACGAACCTGTCACTGACTGCTACGTTATTGGAGGCCTGTACTGAGGAGATACTGACAGACAGACTGTGACTGACGGGGAATGACGATCGATTTTTGTTTATTTACCAGTCAAAAGTTTAATTCTTGTGTCGTGTCTTGTTTCTAACTTTAGGTATCTGTGGCTGGTTTATAGTGCACTAACGCGGTTGACCGTTGCACAGGGTGAACGACGCTGTTTCTAGAAGCTTGTGATTCTATGGTCGATCACTACTCTGTACCTTGAGCGAAACTGATCGATCAATTTAGATTGGTTCACAGTGTTTCTTAGCGAGACAGTATGCCAAGATAAATAGCGCTTTGGTCTTGTTACTGGGATAGCGAATTTCTTTGTCTCAACCGTCAATGTACTCTGAGCAGTTCTCGGCCATGATGGAGCTGACAAGTTGGGTTCCCATTCCTACATTCATCTTGAAGTCGTCTAGGTTTATCTGAGTTGTCACAGGATACTCTTGACTTACCCAAGTTTCTCGGTTCCCTGGATTTATCCTAAGCTTGCCGAAATATCTCGAAACGCAAGATCAAGGCCCTAATTCTCCAGACTTTTAATCATTTACTCTTGAGTTATCAAGTACATCTCGTAAACCCTCCCGTGCCGTCGTGATACAACACCCGCTCGGCCCCACTAGCTCGGACGGAATTCAGTCAACCAGACCCACTCAAGCTTCAATTGAATTCCGACATCACCACTTTTTCCCTTCCCCTAAGCATCGCATCAACCTCAGCTTCAGTCCTGCTCCGCCAATTGTGCTCCAGGCTAAAGCCGGAAATATAATGGAATGACTACGGCATTTCGCGTATTTCATCATGCCCCTCGGCCAATTCAGATCAGCGAGTTCAAAGATGCCGTCGACGCTGTCTGTCGTCCGCGGTTTCCAACCGCTCGCTTTGCGAGACCACAGCGTATAGGTAATTGGTCCAGCGCTTTGCAGCTTTTTTATGGGATTAACTCTCCTCTAGTACTGGCTATCAGTGGAGGCGTAGATTCAATGGCTCTCGCATTTCTCATGACCAAAGCTGTCCGCTCATTCCGTGGCATGAAAGTCGCAGATAACCCAGTCCATGGTGTTCTGGCTCTCGTTGTCGACCACAAACTACGTGACGGGAGCGATCATGAAGCGTCAGAGGTTGCCAAAGAGTTGCGAAAACTTGACATCAAGGCCAGCGTTTCTGCTCTCTCGTGGAGAGACGAGAAACGTCAAGGTCTCGACCCTCGTCAACTCCCCAATGTCGAGGGCCTCGCTCGAACTTATCGGTATCGCGCACTAGGCCGGTACTGCAGCTATCATGGTTCCAGCAGTCTTTTCTTTGCGCACCACAGTGATGACCAGTACGAGACAATCCTCATGCGACTTCTTGGAGGTCATGGATACCGAGGGCTGCAAGGAATAAGAGAGGCTAATTCCATACCCGAATGCTACGATTTACACGGTGTCTACAAGAGTGGCCTTCTCGACGACCAGCTCAGATCAACCCCTGCACTCAGCTTTCGACCAGCTCTGAGAGAATTGAAACATCTACGACGCAGAATTCGTGACGAGTTGACCCTTGAGAAGGCCAATCTCTTGGAAGGTCTCCCTCAAGACCTCGTTCAATCGTACCCGGGATCCGAGGAGATTCGTGAGCTCTCCGACGTTCCATTCCTGAAGCCCTTGGAAGTTGAGGATGGCGGTGTCATGATATATCGACCTCTTATGCAATTTGACAAGGATAGACTGATTGCTACCTGCGAAGCGAATAATATTCCTTGGGTAGAAGATGCGACTAACAAGGATCCTACATTAACAACGCGAAACGCTGTCAGACATCTGGTTCGAAACCACACCTTACCAAAAGCCTTGCAAAAGCCTTCTATCCTCTCTCTAGCTAAGAGATCAAAAGAGAGAACCAAGCTTGAAGAAGCAGAAGCTAGCCGCTATCTTATTCGGGAGGCCATCATCAAAAACTTTGATCCAAATGTGGGAACTTTACTGGTAGAATTTCCGAAGCTGCGCAGCTTCAACAAACGATTCAAAAGACGCTCTTTACATCCTGATAACGAACTACGCAAGGTCCATCGGAGAGTTGTCATAACCATCGCGGTCCGCAAACTTATTGACTTTGTCACCCCTGAGTACCATCTCCCGCCCCTTTCAAATCTCGAAAAAGTTGTCAATACTCTGGTCCCCGGCATGGCTCCCGTTGCCAATATGACACCCAAAGCATTCACCGCCGCTGGTGTGTACTTCGATCCGATAGTCAGAGGAACATCCATCAGATGGCTACTCTCCAGAGCCCCCTATACATCAACCCAACCCCTTCCGGTTGCAAAGCTGTACTTGCCTCCGTCATACCTGTCACCCCCTCTAAACACAGAGGAGGAGTTCACGGATGCCCCGGAGGCTTTCAGTCACAAGGGATGGGCGAGATGCAAGCTGTTCGATGGCCGTTTCTGGATACGCATTGGACGTAATAGATGGCCCATGTGGCAGGTCCACCCTTATCGTGCAGAGTATGCCAAAGCATTCCGCAAAGCGCTGCCTCCTCTACGAAAGGCTCGACTTGAGAAGTTGCTCAAGCACTACGCACCAGGAAAGATTCGATACACACTCCCCGCTATCTACGGTGTCGAACGTAAGCGGGACCCGTATTCTCAGCATATCAGTACGACATTGACACTTCTTGCGCTGCCGACTCTGGGAATCCGTGTGCCTGGCCTTGAGCGGTGGGTCAAGTACGATGTTAGATATAAAAAGGTTGACGTCTCGCTCCTGGGACATCATCCTCGGAGGGAGATCAGGGGCCGCTTCGTCAGGCATCGGCCGTTGTTTGAAACGGGTCGCAAACATATATTGCGGCTGATGGGGGGAAATGGGCGGCAACGATGATAGGCACAGCTAATACCCTCGATTCTTGCATCCTGTTGCTCTAAACTTAGTCCATCCACCCTAAGTTCTAATAATCTTTCTCGTAGTTTTATAAATTTAGGCACTAATTATCCTAAACTTAGGAAAGATACTCTAAATTTAGTCCATGTCCGATGGCTACCTTAAGGTACCTACGATACAGGCTTGCACTTATCTCCCATTATGTTCTGCAAGTGCTGGTGGGCAGGTGCGCTGGCTTACATCTGCCTGCCGGTGCCAAACTTCCTTTACCCTCGAGTACCTGAGCTGCCTTTCAGGTTGCCCGGGCGGGAGCAGTCTACCTGCCGCAGCACGCGAACCACCACCTGGAGGTGATTTCTTCGCGCATGTGAGGGGTTGATCTTCATCTTTCTTACAACTCTCATATGCCTCCTTGAAATGCAACAAACCATCATCTTCAACATGAGAAGCTCGACCCATCTCAAAGAGACATGACGAGAGTTGCGTCACAATGGCTACCGTGAGTTTTTGCTACATTCATCTTGCTCTTCTGTCAGCGGTCGTGAGTGTTCCACTGGGTTTTTTCTCGTCAACGAAAGCCGGCTCTTGCCAGTATACACACTGACTCGATCATACAGACCGAAAACAACACCGTACGTATACAACTCTGAAACCCTCCTTCTTGTCCACGGCTTCTTCCCCATCTCCCCTTGATATCTCCGCGACGCCCTCTGTCCAAGAGTACTGACACTACATAGGATCCTCCGGATAAAGGGGGGGAAACCAGTGGGGGTGGGGGCGAGGCCAAGGTTCAACTACGAGCTTTTTAACCACAACAACTTGAACACCAGTGCCCAAGAAGAGAAGACTGTTTTGTTCGGTGTGTAAAAAAGCGAATCACACGGCCGATGCTTGTTTGTCGCTCCGTAAGTAGTTATCAATTTATGCAAAATAATGCAATTACTAACTATCAGCAGCTGGCAACATCATGATTGTTTCTGGCGGGTCTTCGGTCGCGCCTCCTGGGACTATTGTCCGCGTCGTGAGTTTTCACCAAGTTCAAGTCTAATCTTTGACTAACTTTTGAGGATTTAAGGGGAGGGTCAGCAACCAGCGGGTCACCAAAAAAAAAGAAGAAGAAGAAAGAAGGACAACAAGAAGAAGCTCGAGTCTAAGGTGGCGCAAATGAACCTGGGAGGAAAATGGTCTAAACTAGTCTAAGAAATGAATCACTCTCGGGCTTTGGGCATCAAGAGCCGGTAAAGGAAGGTCTTGACGCCAAATGGAAGATACTCTTGAATAATAGCTGTTTTACAATGTGGGTGAAATGGAAAGAAATGCCGAAATTCCAAGACTTTTAGTAAGTTACAATACTATAAGGCGGAAAGAGTAACTCTTGTACCAGATGTTGCAGATAATAAGCTTCATGGGCAGAAGTGCTTAGATGTGACATTAATGATGTGCCATGATTATAGAAAAGAGCCATGCGAAGTGCTGACTGGATAGAGGCATCCTAAACCTCGAAAAGATATGTAGGTTTTGCACCGGCTCCGGATAGAATTCAGTCGCTTTTATTTGGTATGTGACATGTTGACAGCACTTTTTCTCCTTATATCATGTTTGGGTGCAATGTTTGGTGCATCATGCAAACCTCAGAATGTGGACAGGAAAGTAGATGAATTGTACGATGTTCCCGATCAGCTCTCCAGCCACGACGATGAACCATTTGACGTGCCTCTTTCACTTTCAGGTAAGATTAAATAAAAGTCGGACTCGGAGGCTTTGCTGTTTGTCATCCTGTGGCAGTAATGTTGTAGTTCTGGTTGGCTTTGACTCTTAGCCCAGCTTTCTATGTCTGGAAACGAAGTTCCCCCACGAATTGAGCGGTGAATTGGCCATGAAGTGCACGAGAGCACCTTCAATGTACCCCGTCAGTGCGATTCCATAATCGCCAACAGGGGAGATGCCCTTGACCTCGAACAGTTGTACCCTTCATGCACATATTGATCTCTACTTATGCTACTTACACTTTTGTATATATTCCGGGTTGGCGCATTCCATCAATCGCGGCTATATATACGCAATGGCCATCGCTAGATGCTCACAAAGGCTCCTCGTCTGGAGCCTCATTCTTGTTTGTCAAAGGAGTTTCGTGCAAGCATATTTGTTGTATACATGTACATAGTCATTGCTGTTCGCTGACGCCTCGGCCCGAATCTCGCTTGTGGGGGGAGTCATGCACGATTTTGGAGGGAGGGCAAACTGACTCGGGAGATACTCATTTAATTCTGTAAACGTATACCTGACATTTACGAAGCTGATCGTACCTTCCGTCAGTGAACAGATCGTGGCTTGTGCCATGCGATTCCAACGGTCGATCGTGGGGTAAGGTTAAAATGTGGGGCTTGCGACAAACCTTATCCTGTCTCAAGTTGATGACCATGATCTTCATTGTGTCAAGATCATCAATTTATTAATGCAATGGAAGTTTTCATGAGTGGAAGAAAGTTTCTGTTGACTTGCATGAGTTCAAATAGTACAAAGAAAATCGCAAAGATATGGGTCTTACGGATCATCTCACTCCTCCACCATGAGCATCACATCCAACGGATCAAGAGGAATTGTCGCTTACATTTGGTGGTAACAAGTAGAAATTAGCATGCCAATGTAATTATTAGACCAAGGCTCAGTCACTGTTCCTTCGTGTCGCAAGTGGTTCGCAGCAAAAATGCAACAGGGAGCGATCAACGCTGGGGCAGGAAAATGCAAAAAAACACATTTTCGACAACGACAAGATTCGAACTTGCGAGGCCGAAGCCAATAGATGTCTGAATTGAATTCAAGTCTATCTCCTTAACCACTCGGACACGTTGTCTGATGTTATGTAACCGAGAAACAAGCTAATCTCATATACCCCAATCTCACGATACACTTTTGGTGTTTTTGCCGCAACGCAACACAGGAAAGAGCGATTGAGATGGTGAACTGCGCTTCTCGACTCCCTCTTTCTTTACCCCTCGTCGTTTTCGGCAATTTCTCAAAGAGATCGCCTAATATACCAACAAGCGTTTTTCGGTGAGGCATTTTTATATCGCGTCTTCATGGCCGATACATGAACAATACTTCTCAAATAAAGGTCATTCCTTACTCTTGGAACCTTAGATTTCACGTAGATAGCAGCCATGCCTCAGAAATCGGTCTTTTTTTTATAAAGAGTCAGACCGCCTGAGTCTCTGGTAGGACTCGAGACGTCACCTTGCCATAGTCTATTGATGTTCCGTTTTATGTTCAATCTTTCATCAGTCATCGTTTCTCATCATATTTCTGAACAAAAACAATCCTGGGGCCTTCATGAATAGGGAGGGATCTCTTCCACTCCACGTAGTACATGAACGTGTAGCCGAGACCTCCATCCCAACACATAGGGAAACCTGGGAAGACCCAACATGGGGTTCAGATCAGGAACAATACAGGCACCAGAATGTGAAATTTGTAATACTCCCAAGTTCAGCGGTTCAAAAGTCCTGACATAATAACACCGTGTTTCACACCAACACCTTACGCATGCACTTTCAAGAAGGCCTCAATGTGCACGCCGATAATCCTTCGATTTTCTAAACTCAGGCATGTATTTCGGCATTGCAGATTTGTAAAACATGGGCTTGAGGTCTCTACTAGGTTATGCCCAGGGAGCAAGAAACCTTTCTGATGTTATCCCAGGGTGTAAGACTAAACTGGTCTAAAGACTTGCAAAGATATACTAAACTTACCTAAGACTTTACATCACTTAGAAAATAAAGTCCTCAGTCTTCTTACCTCGCCTTGATTGTGAACTTGTGAGGCTATGCTCAGACACCAGCATAAGCCATGAATGAGGCCAGCCAAACGTGTCCTACCCTGTGAAAGTGTGAGGCGAGCACAATGACTCAATAAAACACGGGGACATTCTTGTCACAATTATGTTGCAAATAAACATAACAATTTACTTTCATTTATGACACCACTATCAATAGATTATACTCGAACCTGGGCATAGGCCTTTGCATGTGAACTCGTGTAAGTGATGACTCTTGCTCACTCTAGTCCAATCATAGTGTGGGAAGGCATCGCCACGCTCATTCACGCATCTTCACTGCCTAGTTCACGACTCCTTTTCACATTTGTTTTCATTTTCAATGTTACTCATTCAACTGATGTTCTTGTGTGGAGTTGAGTTACAAATACCTGCCTTCACCCGCCACTATCAAAACAAGCACATGCTCGGTATAACATGGTCCTGATCCCCACGAACCATCAACATCCTCGCACCCAAACAACGAATGTTTGTTTATCTCTAGCTGCAGAACTCTCCCATTCTGATTTGCGATCTCATGTTCACAAGAAACTATTCCAAAAAGCTAATGTTCCAAGCTGATGCTCTGGGCAGATAACGGGACGACAAAAACCTCCTCGCAATATCACAAGTCAACCAACGAGAGCACAAGAAGAGAAGAAAAATGCCATACACAACCTCAGGTCATTTCATGATACTTAGCCATGCTTGGGGCCACGATATTGGAGGGTTTAGATTCACCAAAGGCATCGTCGAGTGACGAGACTCTCCACTCAGCGATAGTAACCCTGCGGCGCACGATTTCGGGTTGACGACCCCGGATGCCTTGACCGACTGGTTTCCACCACCGCCGGCTCCTGATGGTGATCTGGCCTCCAGCCTGCAGGGTACAGGTTCCGAATTTGGACCTGAGAGGCTTCGTGATAGTCTCTTGCTCTCTGATACATATCTTCATTGATCAGCCGGTTCTGGTATAAGTGATCAAGAAGGAAGAAATCTGGACGCATCTGCCGCCCCGAAAGACCGTTGCGAAAGTGCTTTGCAATATGATGCATGCGCTTCCGATAGCTAATCTCAGCATCTGCTTGGTTGTGGGAGGATGCTGTGAATGTACGGTCACAGAACCAGCAGATACACACCGTTGGGAAGATGCTGCGAAGGTGGAAGCTCGCAATGTGTGCAATCCAGCGGGATTCGTCGTTCAAGTCGAACACAACATCGCAGTACCCGAAGCCGAGGAACTCGCATGTGAGTAATGACGGAGTCACATATGGCTGCGATTCCGGTAGAGAGGCAACTGGAGGAGGTTCCGTATACACCGAAGAGGTTTGGGGAGTCGGCCTGTCAAAGCAGGAAGATATGAATGTCGAGCTGCTGGCCGTTGACATGCTGATGCTTTGAGTAGGAGTTCCATTGTTATCTCTTTCTGAGAGCATCAAACTTGGGGCATAGTAACTTGGGATCATGGCAGGGATAGTATCTCGTGTATGACGTTGTCCTCTCATCGCGTTATGCTGACTTATGAAGCCATTTATATCAGTGGCCAGGTCCCCCATTTTCACGAGGAAGACAGCGATGGTAAAAAGTATGGTCAACTGGCCTAGAAGAGTGTGGGAGCTGTTTGTGATGGAGATACACGTTTGTCAAGTTTGTGTTGAGATGCTAACACGAGTAGTGACTGGGATGGACAAACGGGAAGAGGAAGATAGGGCAATGGACGATAGGAAATGAGATGCAGTGCCTTCGATCTGTTGTGACAAGGGCGAGTAGAGGAAGAATGGACAGTGAAGAACAGAGAAAGCGGAAACTCGAGCTTCTTAACCTTAACTTAACACGCCAAGTTTGAGCGTCAGCACGAACACCCTCTCCCTCGAAGGACCGGCCCGTCGACAACCTCATATGAACCATCCATCGGTCAATGGTGCTTCCTATTCGTTATCACGCTTCAAACACATCAGCAACGTGATGAACGATAACACACTGAAATCATTGGGAATGCAGTGCAGCCGTGCATGGCTTCAGTGCATGCAGAGAACCATGTCCAAGCATGCCATTGTCACAGAATGATACACGCCTCGGGCGAAGCCGAAGATAGTCGGCATAATTGCAGGCAGAGCGACCAATTGGAGGTGAGGGCGTCTTGGTTGCCAACGACGTGGGCACCAGTGATGGGTTTACTACGCAGAGTGTGAGTGACACCGATTCATGGGTCGCTTGAAGACGGAGACAGTCAATGGCTTTATTGCCTTTGCAGTCCATGATCCTGGAAAGGGACAATGAGTGCGATGTGTATTGGCAAAACGGCCTTTGGAATAGTTATGATGCTATTTCTGGAGGAAACTGGAGCGCGGGGAAACACAAACTCCCCAAAAATTGAGGCTCAAGACAAGGTACGTAAATCAGATGGTGTCGAGGTGACTCTTAAGCTCTTTGACGTTTGGCAGGCTAAGGAGGATATACCCTTGTCCATCAGAATACCCGTCTGACAGTCTCACCCATGAGATGGCATGGGGACATCACCATATGCACAATTCTAATTACGTTGGAGATTCCGCTTCACGCAATGAAGCTGACGATGGACAGATATCGAAAATAAGCTCGGCCTCAGTCTAATATTGTATCATACATCTAGGAATTGGCGAGGAGCCCTTCATCGATTCTATCGACAGCTTAATACCCGGTTTCCATTATGAGTCAAACAACCATGATAACCGCCAATGCGACATGCCGCTCCGAGACATCTCCACGCCAAGCAGGCTGCCATACGAATATCCTATTCCAATTCCCCATACCGAACTTAATTAACCGTGAGATGAATGCAGGCAATGAACGCATGAGTTGGCATGCATTGCCGAAGCGGATATCAGCCCTATGTGGGTAGGGTAGACAAGTGTCCTGGGAGAGATGCCGAACGAGGAATGCAATGCGATGGTGGCATGGTCAAAGTTGTCTAATCATAAGCCAACGTTGATACTACTAATACAGATACACCTCGACTTATTCCCCAAGTATCGTGCCTGAGCTCAGCAGAAGCTTACGATGGATTTATGAAATTCAGCAATGCTTTGGGGAAATGGTCCTGTTATAGAATTAATCGCTCTAAACTTTTTATCTTCCTGACCAAGACCATCTCTCTTCACCAAGGTACATCGACAGGATACTTGCCATGATCGATGATCCTTATCTCGTGTAACCATACCACTTCGCTCCGGACCCTAATTAGGCGATCATTGGCCAGGGTCAGTTTATGACAATAATATTCGTAATTCATTAATATAGTAATCTATCCCTAAAGACCGACTCCTGTCAGCCAACTGTAATAGATCTCTTCAAAAGATCCTGTATAGACGCGGCGAGAGCCGCCTCTGATAGCATGTCGCGTGGTATGCGACCTTGCCGAAATGTTAGATGCAAGAGTATATATGCAAATGCCAGTAATGGACTATAGATCGTCCAGCAGCCAAGGCCGTCGTCGAGGCCTTGGCTTAATAAGATGGAAGCAAGGTAGTGCTGTCAACCTTCTTCAGGGCTACACAGCACCCTTGCCTTCAGAATCACATTGCGATATTGCAGATGCCCACCATGCTCATCGCCATGCTTTATCACTCCAGGAAAAGCAACACAACAGATCTCCCTCCCGGTCAGAGACTCTTCATCCTCACCACCCAAGTCTTCCATTGTCTCTGACTCAAACACGACCCTTTGATGTGGTAAAACCGTGGGCATGTTTACACGTAGGACGGCTTTTTGAACAGCGACAAGGCGCGCGAGCTCGATTGAGTTGTTGACAAGAACTCGTAGCCCACTATCTCGAGCCTCGGACGGTGATGTGCCACAAAGGGCGTCGAGAATACGGGTTATTCTGCTTAGGATAGCTTCTGTGACGGATGATGTTGATTCCTTGAGAGACGAGCCATCTCGTCGGAGAAGTGAAAGGGTAGAGGAGCGCCATTGGTTAATGGCTTCATCGGAATCGGCTGCAAAAGGTTAGCGATTGACCTTTATGAGTGGTGAACTACACACCGTATGAAGAAATGAGCTTTTCCAGCTGCCGAAACTGTTGTGTTTGCTCTTCTGATAGACCGACAAAGTAGGCGTCAAAGACCATCTCGACTAATATCTTTGACACAATAGACTGCAAGAGGTAAACCTTGTGTGTAGATGCAAGCTCCTCGTACATAGGCACAAGATCGTTGACCTCCGCCAACGTTGCTTCATCCAGGGCCTCCAGGTCTGCACATGTCAGTACTTCAGCGGTGCCCTCAATGAGAAGATGACTTACTTATCTTGGCCTTGCGAAAGTTCACAATAACCCAATTCTGCAATCCATTGCCTAACCTTGCCATTCCATCACCAAACACCTCATCGCATTCTTGCCCATCTGTCCTTGTGCTATTACTTACCCATTCTTTCAGACCACGCACTTGTCCCCTGAGACCTCGAATCTCGTCATCTCGCTCCTTGAGCTCTCGTCGCAGAACCTCCCAGCCCTCTCGAAGCTCTTCCCGTTCGCCTTCTCTAACCTCAACCTCAGCACGTAACAGTCGTAATTCAGTATCCGTCCGTAAGTATTGCTGGTTCAAGGCGCTATGCTTCGCTTGCCAGAACGTGGCTGTTTCGCTTTCGTTCTGGCTCAGCTTATCCAATTCGCGATGGAACTCTCGTTCCATGATGCCCATCTCCTTCTCCAGATACGCAATCCTCTCATCCTTCTCTTTCAGCGCAGCCTCAAGTTCCCGTTCCCTCTCTTTCTTCTCCCTCTTCTCTCTCCTTTCTTTGCGCTCCTTGTCACGGTCCTTTTCCTTCGTGCTCCCACTGCCTGTCACTGCGTTCTCCTTCTCTTTGAGCGGGGCACCGCCGGTGGTGTCAAGTGTCTCTTCGGGGTTCGCGTTGGCATTGGAGGCCATGGCAGCTCGGGGAGGCATAGCAGGCATGCTATTTCGATTGTTGCTCGAGGCGCCGGTACGCAAGGTATGGGCAGGTGAGGTGCCGGACCCTGGACGGCGCTTTTCAGAAGTGTTCATTGTGCTAACGAGGCGGAGCTTTTGCTACAAGGTAAGATCGGATGTATAGCCCTCCACTGCAGAGGATCGTCAGGTCGTGGGGTCCGAGGCCAGGCGGTGCTGGTTCCGCATTGTTGCTGGCATCAAGTGCTGTATAGGATCGCAATGCTCGAGATTTGCGTAAGTGTTATGTTGAAGAGATGACGTTAGGTTTGGTTCCGTATTTTGATGCCTAGAGGCGAGGGTTTGATTAGAACTCTAGGCGGCCGCCCACTGAAGGTGCGCTAATTCGGTTTGTCGCGAACCCAGTATCAGACCCCGGATCACTGATATGAAGTGAGATGAATGGGATAGTTCGAGTTTTACGATGGCACGGATTAATATAAGTTTGAAACACTAATTTACAGCAGATTCTAGGCAGTCAGTGAAAGGAGCCTCTATGTTATCTCGGAGCTTATATTTACTGCCTTGATTCGACAATGCTATGTATGTGGTCCATTACCGCTCTGTCAGCCTTTAAGCATCATGATATATGGTTGGTAATCCGTAATCAAATATCAAGATGATTCAAGCGTCAACCTAATGAAAACTCTGCTCATCTGACTATTTCTCGCTCCTGTCGCTATCCAGCTGCCTAATAAGAAATCATGTCTAGGCTTCTCAGGCCAAGACCTCCGAAGCAGTATTCGCCTCAAGATGCCCACGCAGTCTCCAGGCTTCAGGATTAGAACCCGACCTCAGCCACTACCTCATAAGCTTCGTCGTCTGTCCCCTCAATCTTCTTTGCCCCCATTCGACACAGCGTGACCTTGTCGAGGGGCATGTCCTCCAACCAGAAATAGTCATCATATGAACTGACAATGTCCCTGGCATCGAGCGTCAACTTCTCTCGTCGTCTCCCGCGACCATCTTTGACATAGATTGTATTGACCACAGTTGCGTGGAGTACCAATGGCCTGTCCTCCTTGGCCATCAGTCCAGCTTCCTGAAATGCAGCCTTGATCTGTTCACAGAACTTCTGCAGAATTCCCTCAGCATCAACGGGTGGCGCATACAGTACCGAAGTCTTCTCGGCGTTCTGAAAAGCATGTAAGCCCTTTAGAGTTATCGAAAGCCCCTCTTCAGTCGATGTCATTCCAGCCCTAGCACTTGCAAGGTACTCCTTCAACTTCAAACTCTTCAACACCTCGCTGGCCTGCTCAACGCCCTCGTCCTTGAGGCTCATAACACCGAGTGTCAGATGCATCGTGCCGGGTGGACGCACTGCAGTCGGTGGAATACCAAAGCCAGAAGGATTCGTGACTTCTGTGCGGAAGGCAGCCAAGCTTCTAGCAAGCTGCGGCCCAGCCAGGGGGATGCATACGAAATGCGTCGGAGACGCCCTGACTGGTTTCGGCGGCATGGCTGAAATATCGAATTTGTCTTTCCAGGATAGTTTCTATCAGTCTCAGCGACAGTGTACAAGTGCAACTGCGAGTAGATGATATGTGACAGTATGTCTA